ATTATGTCACTATATGCTTTTCTTGGCATAACGGCATGTGTTGTTACAGTATAGTTCAACTGGTTTTAGTGCAGAGTACAGATGTTTGTGCTCATAGTTTTTGATAGTATATTTTAAATGTGACAGTACAGGGTTTTTGTCTTAAAAAAACAAAAAACCTGTTGTAATACGTCATGTGTTGTGAAAATATCTTCAAATATTGTGATATATTTCTGCCAGATTGCCCACCTCTACCATTCACAACTTTCACACCCAGTGAACTATATGAAAGGTGTCATTCTAGCTGCTGTCCGTTATTTGAAGGAATGCGGATCAGACGGTGCACATTACGCGCCACATTTATTACTTCCGCGCTGTTGTGTTGGGGTGTAATGACTATTGATTTTCCCTGAACACATTCAGTGTGCAGTGATTTTATTTCATGCAGTGAAGCATAATAAAACTGAACGGTTTCAAGGATGCTGTAGATTTCTGGGAAATCTCTGAAACCAGTCAGAATAAAAAAGTCATCTGGATTTAGAGCGCGGCAAGGCCGGGCGAGAGGAGAATTGCAAGGACAGAGACATGGACGGTTTCTGATCCAGTGTTTTTTAGAGAAAGAATCTCTAAGGAAACTAAAACTGATTATGGATGCGTAGCGTTACTCAATCTTAGAAATGGTATCCAGCTCTACAGTGGGAATGAGGGTTTGGTAGATTTAGTTTTTTTTGCTTAATTTGGACCCAGTGATTTACAGTAGTGAGGTGTGGAGAAGTGCACTGATGGCTAATATCAGCATCATCTGTGGTTTGGATGGAAAGATGTGAGGACTCATTAGCTGTGTTCCAAAGGGCGGGTCCTCGGCAGGACTGTCCCATGAAGACTCCTCCTAGTTAGTAGCCTATTGGTCACACAAGTGGAACAGTCCTAATGAGGCTGCATGGTGACGTCACTAAAAAGGTCTGGCCGCTTGAAATTGCAGCGCGAAACTTGTGAGGGAACCAGTGAGCGAAAATGGAGCCTGTTGTGTTTGTTGTTATGGTAGCTAATACGCCAACAAGCTTACGTAGTACAGTAAACTACACATATACAAATACTTCTGATCACTCAGAACGTAGGCTGTATACAAAGGGTTGGTCGCTTTGGAACAGCCTTTTATGGCGTAGCGGCTGAGAAATGCAGCCTAGACTTCGGAACGCAGCCAATTGCATCATTACAAGCATTTAAGAGTAAACAGTTCAAATATGTAATTACTGATTGCGTAACGTCTAAATTAAGGGTGCAGCCATGCGACAGTCTAATGTAGATTACAGGTTACAGCTAGCTAGACTAGTTTAGTCACATGGTTTTTTTCATGCACCCATGTAACTTGGAAGGAAATGTCGTTCTTCAGGCCTCAGGATGCGACACAAAAGAGCAGCACATTACATAGAACTACGCAGAGTACAGATACATGACAGTGTAAACAAGTGCAGAACATGCAGTAAATACACTAGGCAAGTAACATACAGAACAATAAATATACTTGGCACATACACATGATGCTAAGATTATAGTCTTAAATATCAAGGGGTACTTAATGCAGTGGTTCAGCTGACTCAAAAGACCCCCTGATAGAGTTAATAGTTTCATAGGATGGCTCAACATTACTCGATTTGATTAAGATTCTAAAGGAAATGATTAATTGCATAGTGAAGTCTTGTATTTCACTGTAGTTTGATTTAGTGTAGTGTAGGCAGTAAACTAGTAAATCTTCACTAAAATTAGAAAAATTAGAAAATGCTTCACTGCATGAAATGTGTTTTGACTTAAAAACAAGAAACACAGGTTATTGAATATTAGCTGGTTTGGGTTTATTCTAGCCTTCCAGAACAGATGCCACTGAATTGTCACCTCTAGTGGGGTTTCTGCTCACCTAATGGATAGGTTTAGTAGAAGAGTTTTAGCGTATACAGTCAGATTCAGAGACCACATTAAAAATCTGGAATTTTTTTTTCATTTAAACTTGGAAATAAGCAAAAGGATGTTGTAGAATTGAAAAAATGAGGCAAGGAAAAGTTATTAAAAGTAAAACGATATGGGTCAAGTTTCTGCACTATTTCCAGGTCAGTATTCATATTTAAGCCAATTTGTGACACTGACCATGTACGAAAAGGTGTGATTGCTTTGAGTCGTGTCCAGACTTTTAGCTGGATTTGATCTGCTGATCAGAGGCTCCTGCACCAACTTGTGGAGTCCATGTGAGCTTGAGCGCACACTGTCATTTAAGCTAAAAAGTGACGTACAGTGCTGGTAAACAACCACAAATCCACTCTTTAAATTTCTGCAATATTTGAAAATGAGCTTTTCAAAAAAAGCTCCACACTGTGTTCAGATTGGTTCACTTATTCACTAATGAACACACGGCGCCTGCTGTACGGTGAACTGACTGAAGAACCAACAGGAAACGCCAAAGAGGGAACATAACTGAGACGCTGAATAGTGCACTAGCTCTCTAATAGGAAGCAATTTCAAACGCAGCTCTAGTCATTCACAGATATCGTGGTAGTCGCAAGTAACTTTTGACCTTTGTTCTTCTCCAGGAGGCCCCAACAACAGCTCGGACACGGAGAGCCTGCCCTCCCCTCGCTCCTCAGAGGACAGCAAGGTGAAGGAGGAGAACACGTCCCGCTCCAAACCTACCTCCAGCGCCCCTCCGTCATCATCGTCATCCTCCTCAGAGAAGGAGGCAGTGGCTCCAGAGCAGCAGGACGAGAAACCCCCAATCAAGATGGAGCAGGGCGGGGTGAAGGAGGAGGCGCAGGCGGAGGGAGGAGAGGGAACGAGGGAGGTACAGGGAGAGATGGAGGACAAGAAGCCCCCCACGCTGGAGCCGGAAGAAGGAAAGAGAGAGGGAAGGAAGAGGGAGCATGGAGGGAAGAGTGCAGGGCAGGACAGCGATTCCAGCGCCACCTGCAGCGCTGATGAGGTGGAGGAGCCGGAAAACGTAGAGAAGAACAGGCGAGTTTTTGTTTGTGGACAAAATGCTGGTGTTATGATTATATTGCTACATGCTGTGATTGTGATTCGACTTACAGTATATTAACCCTTTTTTACCTAATGTCTTGTTAGTAACGCTGACAGAGACTTCAAAGCCCAATCCGATTTCTTATTTTCATCCCTACCACTTGTTTTCGAGTGTCACCTTGCCCCTTGAAACTGAGTTACAAAGGGGTAGTGGTTATAATCTTCCTCTATGAAATGAGACCCTCAAATAAAAAGAGCATTACTTCATTAACAGCTACCAGCGCTGCTCTGTAGGCGACCCTGCCAGTCTGCAGTGACAGCAGAGGAGGGTAAAGTTCAGCTCCTCACTGCTGGGCTTTAGTTACATTAAGGGCGTCATATGCCTTATGAAATGAGTTCCACCTTAAATGGTGCAAGAGTTACTGTCTGGCAGTTCAGACGTCAGAACTGCTGGACTGTTTAAGGCGGAACGGGAAAATTAGCTAGATAGCTACTGAGACATTAGTGTACTGTTAGCGATTTTTTTTATGCTTGTTATGAAGAAAACGACCATAATACATTGAACCAACATTAAACTAAGATAATACAGTGGTTATTGTATTTTTAATGGAGAAAATTCTCACATTTGTGGGTTTCTTTGGTCTCTTGTGCAGCCATCTTGCCGGTTTTTCTTTTTTTCTCATAACACTCTGTTTAAAGTGAGTCTCCGAAAAGCCTCGATTTGGAGGGCCTTGCAGCTCTAACACTTCGCCCTACCCCTCCATCTCAACAAAAATCAGGACACCCTACCCCTAGACATGAATGCACAAAACAGAGGGATAAGGGCTGAGTGGTAGGGGTGAGGGGTGGAATGAGACTGGGCCTAAGCCATTAACTCAGAGGAGCCTGACGCCAGCAGACGCATTGTGTGTAAACCTAAAGAGGAATTCCACCGATTTTCTTTTTTTCTTTTTTAATTTCTGGTTAATTAAATATTATTTAGTCATTCAGAGTGGTTTGATGTGAAATGGCTCATTGTGTAGAAACTTACCGGCTCTGATTTCTTTACGGTGGTGGTGATAGGAACCAGGGGTCGCTATGTCTACAGCACAAGCATAGCCATATTTATTTACTACCCAAAATGACATCAACCTACACATGACCTCTGAGCTTTTGTATAAAATGTTGATCATAGTACAGCAGTAGGAAGTCTGAGTAATGATTAGTACATCTAAAAAAGAAAAATCTGATGGCCTCCACCGTTCAGGAATGTCAAAAATATTTTTTAAGTCAGGCAGTGTGTTCATAACCATTTCATGTAATAACTGTCTGTGAGGGAGCTTTTAGGGGCATTAAACTCTTCTCTCGTCTGGTTCCTATCACCACCACTGTGAACAATTCTGACTCAGTCTCTCCGTTTCACTCAGGGGCACTTTCACCCATTTCTCAACCTCCAGAGCTATTCTGAATGCAGCTAGTGTTACAAGAGAGAGAGAGAGAATAAGTGAGAGTGTATGAAGTGTACTACGCAAAAAAACAAACCCAAGCCCAGCGTTGTATGGGAAATGTTGGCCTGAACTCGTTCCAAAACCTGATGTTTTTTGTCTTTTGTGTTATGAGGAAGTGAATGTGCTGTTTGGTCAGTTAGTGGACTGTATTGTGGTGAGCAGAGCTGGTTGGTGGTGACTTGTTGATCTGTCCTGCTCTATTTTGTTCTGTGACAGCAGACACTGTATATATTGGCAGCACCAGAGGAAACATTAGTCTGAGTGCAGGCCAAAGAAAACAGTGAGAAAGAGGAGAGTGCATGTTTGGGTTTCTTTGTGTAGAGAGCAAATTACAAATCTATTGTGTGTTGTGTTATTATGTTTGAAGTGGAATGGCAGAAGGTTTCCTCTGAAGACAGAGAGAGAGAGGGAGAGAAAGAGAGAGAGAGAGGAGGGTTTAGTGAGATGTTTAATGTTTAGAGCATGTTTATAAAGACTGTAAATAGGACAGAGTTGACTGACCATATTAAGAAATGACTTCCTCTTCTCTTCTCCTCTCTTCTCTCTTCTCTTGTGCTCTCTTCACTTCTTCTCGTTCTTCTGTTCTCTTCTCCTTTCTTCAATTCTCTTCTCTTTTCCTTTCCTTTCTTCTCTTCTCTTCTCTTCTCCCCTCCCTTCCTTTCTTCTCTTTTCTTCTCTTATTGTCTCTTCTCTTCTCCTCTCCTTTCCTTTCTTCTCTTCTCTTTGCCTTTTCTTTTCTCATCTTCTCTTCTTCTTCTCCTTCTCTTCTCTTCCTCTCTCCTCTCTCCTGATATCATCTCCTTTGTTTTCTTGTTTTCTCTCCTTGTATCCTCTTCACTTCTTCTTGTTCTCCTTTCCTTTCTTCTCTTTTCTTCTCTTCGTCTCTTCTCCTCTCCTTTCCTTTCTTCTCTTCTCTTTGCCTTTTCTTTTCTCATCTTCTCTTCTCTTCTTCTTCTCCTTCTCTCTTCTTCTCTCCTTTCTTCTAATTTCTTCTTATCCTTTCTTCTCTCCTGATATCCTCTCCTTTGTTTTCTTGTTTTCTCTCCTTGTATCCTCTTCACTCTTCTCATTCATTCACCTTTTTGTTCTCTTTTTTGTTGTTTTCCCTTTAACATCTCTTCTCATCGCTTCTTGTCTCTTGTTTTACTTTTTTCTTTTTTGCTTCTCTTCTCTCTTTTTTACATATTTATTCCTTTCTCTTCCCATGTAGAATGACGTCTCCTAGACCCAGTCTGCTGAGTTATGCCCATGATGGAGTGATCTCCACTGCACTGCAGAAACCACTGGACCTCAAACAGCTCAAACAGAGAGCGGCTGCCATACCTCCAATAGTGAGTTTACACACACACACCTACCACAGCGAGTGTGCACACGTATACAAACACACACACACACACACACACACACATGCACACAGATATATAACCCAGTCCCCCCCTTCCATGGAACTCTCATTCCAGTGAAGTGCAGTCAGACTCATTTACAAATGATTAAACTTTACGCTGCTATATTTATATCATAAAAACTGTGTAGGCACACCAGGATGAAAGGACACATTTGTAATGAAGTATTCGTAAAGTGTGCGTGCTGGATGTTGTGCTGTATCACGCTGGTTCGCAGTCTGATCCTCTCTGCTGGATTAGATGTGCCGGCCTGCCTCTGTTGCCATGGATAATAAGACTGCTGTTAATCTCTCAGACATCAGAGAGATCCTGCTCTCTTCCATCTTTCCCCACAGCAGACAGCTGTTAGGTAACACAGAAAGAGACTCAGAGATCGAGTGAGTTACAGAAATCAGTCATTTAAATCAGTAAATTTGAGTGGTGGAACCAGCCTGGTAATAATATTCTGGCTAAAACATAAAGAAATAGCAAATACATTGTAGAATATTGCTATATTCTTATAAATGATGAGAATGAATTAATTCTGACATTCTTACGTTAATTCTTGTGCCCTTACTAGTGGGCATTAGAGTGACCAGTAGATTAGGGTCCTCTCCATATATAACTGTATATACAGTATATAACTGTTATGTGCATATTTCTAACATTTCTCTTGACCATTTGACTTGATGTTTCCAGTGTGGACATTCTGAGTGGTTTTGAAGTACCGTACTTCATTTAGCAGCGCTAGATTGGAGCTTTTTTTCTTTGTGGAGTGTCAGACTTTTTATTAATCAGTTTTTTTTTATTAACTCAGTAAAAATCAATAATGAAACAGTGGCATAAGCAATGGTTTAATCACAGTAATACCCTAGAACAGGGGTATTTAAAATTCAATAAAGTCCAGTTAGGGAAAATTTCCTCAAGCAGAGGTCCGAACATCATAATGTCTAACTTACATCATGATTTAGTGCCATATACTGTTTACTGAAGTAGCCTAGTTGGTATATCAACATCTTATGTAGTCAACAACTGAATGTCAAATCAAATAAAGTACAATTCAGTAACATTTCAACAACATTTATTGTCAGTTTTCTCTTTTTAGAGCACGACATGTGAACTTATAACTTCCCTCTGACTCACTTTCTTCTCCGACTGCTGTTTCTCACTTCATCCCTTCCCTGTGTGTGTCACTCACTCGAGTCTCAGTGCTCATCGTAATGCACAGATCTGATTGGCTGAGTAGCGTCACGTGTGATATTTACAATGTGTGCGGTTGGTCAGTGAGTTTCCCGGGCCGGTAAAGCGAAACCATAAAGGCTAAAGTTACGCCGATTAAAATAGGACCACCCTGTCGAAATTAAATATTTCTCTATGGTTTATCGGTTATAGTTCCAGGTCGGCATTGGACAGCATCTGGGTTCGGACTCGGGCCGCAGTCCGACACAGCAGGTAAAAGTGGCCCAAATCCAATCTTTTTCCTCAAATGTGACACAGATGTGTGTCTGTGTGGCTGTGTGAACAGCAAAAATCACATTGAATCGGACACCAATTCCGATTTGAGACGCTTTCGTATGTGGTACTGAAATCTGATACATATCCGATCTGCGGCAATGCGACTCTGTCTGAACAGCCAAATCGGAATTTATGCGACTTTTACGTCAGTACAACTCGACATTCATCATAACTTCGCGCTGCTGAGACTCAAACATTTAGGCTGATGTTTCTGTACTAAAAAATTAGAAGAGACTCATCAAACCGCTCCGTGTTCGGCCGGAGGAGCCCGAGGCTGCAGAGTCAAAGAACAGTTTAAAGAATCAGAGGACACGAACCAAAGAAGTGGCTGTGGCAGAATAACGCGCCCTTTTTCGGCGAACTCGAACACACTGTGGGTGATGAGTCCAGCTGTCAACCACTTGAACTTTATACTCGTTCATGCGATGCTGGCGAAGATGAAACTGAAAGCTGCGGGAGGGACTGGCGTTCGCTGGCCGTCGTGACTGTTTACCCTTGGATGAGCCGCCATGTAAAGCACTGTTCTTTTGCGCATGCGGGTCGGTTTAGGAGCTGATCTGTTCAGACTGATGTCGCATACAGGTCACATTTTAAAGATAATGTGAACAGCCAAACAGAAAGTCAGATTTGGGCCACTTTTACCTGCTGTGTAAACGTAGCCTTAGTGACCTCTGCCCTAGAACATAAAAGATTGCCACTAAGGCTGCTCTCATAGCACTCCCTCTTGTGTATTATGGCACAAATATAGAATGCTGATGCGTAGATATCTCTCTGTGTAAAAGCACTCTATGAATATGACCGACACACGTCATCATTCTGATAGATTGCAATATGCTTCAGTAATGCAATACACAGGAAGTGGTGGGGGGTGTATGTCTTCTGTGGTTTCATTTCACCATGAAAGAAGAAACTGCTTCTCACACAATGGTGGCAAAGGGTAAGGAACCTGATATGTCACAACAGTTAGATGATTAAGTTTGAAGTAGTGAATTAATTACTTAGTTATATATAGTCAAATAATTTTTTCTCTCTGTCTCTGTGTACTGTAGATGCCTGAAGTTTCCTCAGCAGGTGGTGGCGTACTGGGGAAGCAGCAGGCTCTTCCTGACGCTCTGGCGCTTTACGAGCAGCAGATCACTATGGCTCACGAGTCCTCACAGGAGGCCAAGCAGCAGCAGCAGCCAATCAAATCACAGCATTACCCCGGCGGTGGCGGTGAGGCCAGCAGCCCGCGGGTCCGGGCCAGAAGCCCCACTCCATCTGAACGAGAGAAAGAGGGTACGACCCTTGTGTCTAAACCTGTTCTTCAGTCTGCCTGCCTAACTCATTCATTATGTTCCCACCTTTGCTGGTGTTTGGTGCACATGTTTGTGCTGAGTGTAAGTGTATGTGGGGGTGCGTTCACACTTGGCAGGGTTGATCTGATCAAAACAATCGCTGGTATGAATGTTCTGTTTGTGCAGCTTGATGCTGCTCAAGTCCTGGCGGCACCGACTTAGTTGAAGTGGTCTGTTTCGCTTCATGCGAAGTACCAAAGAACATTATACAGACCAAACACAGAATGAACCATCGTGTCCTCTCTGGAGAGCTCCTGACATATTCCTGATTCCGTTTAGACGCACGAATGTGTTTTTTCATCCCTTCATGAGCTCTGAATTGGTAATTATAAAGCAGTTTTAAATGACAGCAAGACATGTTCAAAACCATTCAAAAATACTTGATACACAAGTAAGTGTACACACCACATAAATTTTATATTAATGTGCCACATTTTAACATTCACATAAAGTCACTCAAAGCCAAGTGTTACAGTGATTTTACTTGCATCGTGGGAAAACCACTGTAACGCGCAGCCTGCCATGGCTTAATGCTTTAGAACTAGGCTGCTCAGAATTGGCCTGAATTGAATTTAAAGGCAAGACCTTGCATGTGAAGAATCTATTGGAGTATGTAAATGATATACTTTCTCCATATATACCACTAGCATGCAAAAACATAAAGCTACTGAGTTGCTAACTAGCTATTTTGACTTTTTGGCCTTCAGCCCACATCAGATGTTATACGTTGCTCCCCAATGTAAAAAGTTTGCTTAGAAACTTGTAAGAAGTACATAAACAAGATATACATAAAACAACATGTAAGTAAAACAAGACATACATTAAACCCACAAGCTTAATTAGGCCAGAGGACAGTGTGCCTCAAAAAGTAGGCTGTTATACCGGTTATTGTTACCAGATGTACGTAGTCACCTGCCCAGTCACTTGCGACTTTTTATGCTTATGACTTTTATTTATTTAACATTTGGTGCAATGTCAAATATATCAGGGTGAACATTGATGCTGTTTTTCCTCCAGGCAGTGCAGCACTGTACAGTACGGTTATAAAACATGCATTTTATTTCATTTCCACAGCCAAATAACCTGTTCTGTACCCGAGTACCCATGCTGAATTTGGTTACCCTCCTTGCAAAGTGTACCAAGCTGGAATGTGTGGGTGGAGCTAGTAAAGGAGCAAACCATTGATATGTCAAATGCAGTAATCAGAGTTGTCATGCCAAACTACTGCCTTTAAAAAAGAAAAAAAAACTAGGTGGTCAGAATCGTTGTCTGTGACTCTTTAAGTAAAACCGAACACAGAGTAAAGGGTAAATCAGAGTTTGAAGCTCCTCCATTGTTGCTGCTGTTGTTCATAATAACTGTAAATGCTAGATTTGCTTGAGAAATCATATGAGCACATAAGCTCAAGAGAATTCTGCCTACATTCATGCTTCTCTGATGCGATGGGAAAGGGACAGGTTCTAGACCAGGGTCCAGATGGTTACGGGTTCAAATTTGTAACCTAAGTGCTGTATCGTTTAGCACTGCCTGGTGCAAAAACAGCATGAGACAACCAGAACTAAAACGCAACCATGTATAATTTATTGCTTTGGTCCAGACCAACAGACCCAAACTCTAAATATAAACGTGAGGTTGATAGTTTGTAGTTTATGATTGAGTGTTATGCTGCTAAGAGAAGTGTCTGTGGACTGGTTACTGTGGGTGAAAACACCAAAGAGTGCAGAGACACTCTACCAGGGCAGGACAGGAGAAAACTCCTCTGCAGCGGTGGGGTCCGGTGAGTGGTTTTGGTGTTAGTGTGTTGTGGTTTTGTGCTCAGCTGTAGTGTATCTGTCCCTGCAGAGCTGGCGGGGAAGGAAAGATGGCTACAGACTCTACTGCATGGATTATGTAGGTTCACACACCACACAGAAACACGCACACTCTTTCTCCAGACTGTACAATCAAAGGTGCTCAGCTCTCAATGACCGCATCCTAATCAGCACTTTTTTTTTTCTTTTTTGCGGGGACTGTAAGGTCACTTTGATAAGATTGTGCATGTAAAAAGGTATTTTGTTCTTGGTGTAATGTGGATTTGCTGTTTTGAGTGGTGAGTGATTTGTGATTGGAGTGTACCTGTATAAATGAATTTTACGTGTGTGTGTGTGTGTGTGTGTGTGTGTGTGTGTGTGTGTGTTAGGGCTGCACAAGAGATTGTTTATTAGTTATCATAGTCAAGTCAAGTAAAAGTTGTTTATATAGCGCATTTCACAGCAGCCGTTGTCGCAAAGAAAAATCTGGGTCCAGGCCCCCATGAGTGTCGCCAATAGCAACAGTGGCAAGGCAAAAAAATTCCCTAAGAGTAAAAGAAAGAACCTTGAGAGGAACCAAGACTCAAAAGGGGAGTCCATCCTCCTCTGGTCGACACTGTATAGCAAAACAATAACACGAGCAAAATAAACAGAGAAGAAGGTTTTAACAGTAGTATAAGATATGGAAAAGGGGGTAAAGCAGGAGAAGCCTTGGCTGTGATTAAATAGTTTGATGGATGTGCAGCAGCATCATCATCAGGAGGGCCAGTTCATGTGGGTTAGGTTTGTACTTGAACCACACTGACCCACTGCAGGGCATAATCAGTCCTGTTTGAATGGATTTAGGGCCGTATTGCACACCCTTATATTGCACTGTTGTGTTGTGGTGATATCCTCACACAGAGGGCTAAAATATGCAAATTATGCTAGCTAATCAGTGTTGTGGTGGGGGTTTTTTGTAATCATCCAGACCAATCACAGTTCCAGATGAGTTTCTGTGGGTGTTTTGGGGAATGAAGTTAGTCACGTAATTATACAGAACCGTATTATTTGTGTCGAAATTAAAACACAGTCTTTAAAGCCGAATTCCACATATTTTTCAAAACTTCTATGTAATTCAGTCGTGGAAATTTAGTTCAGTTGCTGATTAATTGTAGAGAAACTTGCTCTCTGATTTTAAACAGTGGTGATGATCGGAATCAGGGGTCATGATATCTACAACACAAATATAGACATTTTATGGTTCCTATCACCACCACTGTGAACAATTCTGACTCTGTTTTTCTAGAGTGAAGCATTTCATATCAGACCAATTTTAAGACTGAGTTTATAGGTTTTGAAGAAATCAGTGGAATTCCGCTTTAACCATGTCACACATTTGATTGATTGATTTTTATTTATCTCAGATTATTGATTTACCAAGCATATAGCAATCACAGTATGGGGTAGACATGGCACAGAGCCATTTGTTCTCTTCTGGTATTAATGCTTCTATTGATATCTTGAGTATTGAGTATTAATGAGATATCTGATACCAATCTGATACTGATCATCTTTAAAATGCTTAAAAATGATGTCTAAAATCCCATCCAGCATTTTATTTGCTAATATTAGCCTGATACCAATACCTGTTGTGTGATTGCTGTCATCAGCAGTGTAATCACAATACAGTATTTGCAGCCCTAGAGTGAATGTGTGTGTGAGTGAGTCGGAGAGCATGTTTTGAGTGTTTGTGCTGGTGCTGATCGTCGGTAAACTGGGCTTTAATCTTTATACCTGTTCAGATGGAGTGAACTCGGCCTCACCCAGCCCACTCTCTCCTGCAGTCGCCTACTCAAGCATGTACGTTTGTCACGCTCTACTCCTGTGTTTGTACAGATAAGCCCCGGGCATTCTCTCCCCTTGCTGACGTTAAGAAGACTCCGGAAGACCTCAGAGCCATGGGCTTGGCCCGACCCGTGATATCACCATTCCAGCTGTCTCCTAGAGACATGGCCAAACTGAGCCACGAACAGCTCCTTCACTACTCCAGTAAGAGCCATTCTACTTTCATCAACTGTGCTCGACCTTTTTTATCTGCCTAGCTGTTTATTCATTTGTCTCTCTTTGTTTCTATCAGTCAGTCTACTCATTCGTTATATCTGTCTGTTCATCACTTCCCCCTTAACTTGGAAAATCACATTTGACTTGTTTTTTGAAATGAAATGAAATGTGTTAGATGTCCTATGTAAACATTAAGGTCACTCCTCAGTCCATATGTGGAAATTGCGCTGGCCATTTTGACATCACAACTATTAATATCTTCACATATGATCGTCCTTTGAGCCTGCAGCGGTTTCGCCTGTCCATAATTAAGTTATAAGACTCTTAATGGGATAGTAACAGAAACAGCCTGTTCAGTTCTAAGGATTAAAGAGAAATTGGACTGTTTATGGAAAATAAAACCAGGTGGAAAAAATTATTTACAAGAAAAATGTAGAATATGAGCTCTTTAATGAATAATAAGGAGCTCCTGCTACACAGACCCCTCATATGTCATCTGTTAAGATATCTTTCTGTTTCTCTCTCTTTCTCTGTAGCTCTCCAGCAGCAGGAGAGGTTGAGCGCTGTGCGGCCCCTCCACATCCCTGATCCTCCTCCCCTCATCTCCTCAGCCAAACCTGGCGGCTCCATCACCCAGGTACAGAGAGGAGCGCCAAAACCTCTAAAACACCTCTACTAACTCCCTACTCCACACGTGCCTCCTCACACAGCACACACCCACATTAACGTCTGCTCCAGTTGTCCACGAGTACATGCATGTGGATGTTTTAGTGCCCACAAATGCTGATCATGATCAAAGTAAAAAAAAAAAAAGTATAATTTCTTATTAAATCACCCTTTGAGGAAATTGGTAAATAAATGAATTGTTAAATAAATTGTTTAAACAATTTAAATAAATAAATAAATATTTTCAGTTAAAAAAAAATCCGAACCCGAATCTTTGAGTTTGATTTGCCATGACAAGCAGCATTAGCATTAGCTGCAACACAGTAGACTAGTTAGTTATAATGTCCATATTTGTCGGTGATCCTGAGTGCTAACATTAGCAGAGTAGGCTAACAAAAGCAGTGTTTTTATGTATTGTCTGAAACATGCCTCGTGTGGCACAATCAGAATGCAAAGTTAAAGAAAATCGCTAAAAGTAACTCAATAAATACTGTAAGCGAATCATTAGGAGCTCTAGTGACGGGCTATAAATGTTTAACGTGAGTATATTTGTTGATGAGATGGCGTCTGTGTGCATTACAGGGTACTCCAGTACAGATGCACAGTCCAGCCCACAGCTCAGAGCACACAAAGCTGTCTGCCCCAGGATCTCTGCCTCTGCCCTGGATGGAGCCCAGGAAGATAGGTGGGTATCCACTGAGTGTGGAAAAGAGACAGAGTGAATGAATCAGTGAAAAAGGGCTGACTGGAATGAGAATTGTTAGAGATGCACAGTTGAAAATAGCCAAGATCAGAATTGTCAGATTTATTGCTTCAAACCACAGTCAGCCAGTTTATTGTTTTTGTTTTGGCTGATCTGTGTTGGAGTTTTATGAGGTAATTAAAGTGAGGCAGGTGAGTGCAGTCACTCTGTATTTGAATGCTGCTGCTACACCTGAATCAAAATGTCATAACATAATTATACATGACTCATTTCGCTGAATAGCTGAAATGTCAACGCTTACTTTCAGTGTAGCACTTTTACATGAGTCATGCTTTTTAAATAGGCAACTGGATTTTCATTTATGAATTTAAAATGCCAGTTTGACCCCTTAAAGAGCAGATTATATCATTTTTGTTGAGGCTTTGTCAAATAGAAAGTACTGGAAGTGTGTGAGCGTGTTTCATTTGTTTGTTTAACCCACACACTGTGAGCTTCAGGTTTAAAAAAAGGTCAATAGAAATGGGCCAAAAGTTTAAATTAGAATTGGCCATAAATGTTCCTGATATGTGCTTCAGCTGCCTTTTTCAGTGTGTGGACATTTTGATGATCGATGTTGGATGAATCCATAGAACCTTTGTAGTGTATTTGTTACTTAAACAGCACTGTTTAACATTTCGTCATCTTTATAAAGTTAACGTTTTGGAGACACATGGCAGTGATGATAAACTCTTTACCTTTTTTCTTGCGCTCTCTCTCTCTGTCTCTCTCTCAGGTGGGTTGCCCATGGTGAAGCAGGAGCAGCTCTCTCCTCGTGGTCCCTCCTCTTCCTCCTCTCAGGCTGAGAATCTCTCCAGCGCGGCTGCTGCCCACGACAGTCTCACTGCTCGAGGTGAGTGTGTGTAGAAGTTTGATTTTGAGGCAGCTAGTAAACAAAACTCAGAGAAATTAACCAGACAGAAATCACGTTTACAGAAAGGAAACTTGCTGTTCATTTATTTTTTATGGGTTTTCACAATATTCTATACTAAACTATTCACAGTAACTTGAAGTTACCGGTAAATTACTTGCGTTACAGTAAACTGCCAGTTTCTCAATATCAAAAAAGGCACAAAATAGAGGAAATTAGAATTAAGAAAACAAATAGATCATTAAAAATATCACTAAAACTGAAAACTAAAAATAGTGAGAATGCAAGCAGTACAATAACCAAAAATGTTCATGACTAAAAATGATATTGATGATTTGATTTTTGAGTATCGTTATAATTTTGCATTATGATGGATTTTAACACTTTAAAATCGATGTAGCTGAACTGTCACCTTCAGACTGACTCGTCACAATGTTTTGCGCTGCTGGCGTTTATTAAATAAGTTTCTGAATGGTCTATAAAGTTTTCTGTGCTGTTGTGTAATTATTACTGACAGTTACTTGTTTATGCATGAGTTTATGACCAGTGTGTTTTTGGTGTTTATTAATAATTAATGATTGCACATTGCAAAGCAGTTGTTACCCGATATATATTCTTCTTCTTACTATTATTTTTCTGCCTCATTTTTGTCTGCTAACACAGTCTTTGAGATATCGACACTGTCCCAGCGACCGAACATTCGATCTGATTGGGAATGGTGGGCTGTATACAGCTTTTTGACCCGATGTACAGTTTTCTTACAATCTTCGTTAAATTACGATATTTTTTCCTATAGGAATGAATGGGGTGAAAACAGTGGCACGCCCATCTACTGTACTTGCGCTTAACCAAAAAACCCTGTTTTGCATATGCTATCTCAGGGCAGGCCCCCAAGCACGAATTCAATGTTGTTCTGACACTCACTTTTTTTTTTATTATCCCTCTTTTCTCTCATACACTCTCCTTCATTTTTGGCCCCACATAATCCCTATCATTTCTTTGCCCGACAGCCACCAAACTGCATGTACTCCCTCAGGGCAGGTCCCCAAGCTCTAATCCGCAGCAGTACTGATCCGCACTCCTCTGTGCCGTTTTTTTCCATCCCTCATTCCTCCCATAGAGTCCCATTCATTTTAGCACCAATCCAAGCCCTTATCTTATTTTTGCCTGACAGCCACCAAACTCAGATCCTCACTCAGGGCAGGTCCTCAAGCTCCACAGCTATAATGACTCACACTCATCTATGTGTTTATCTTTCATCTCTCGCTCCTCCCATAAACTTCCATTCATTTTTAACAACAACTAGCAACCACTTGGCAACCGGCTAACAACCACTCAGTACATACCCCTCATGCCATAGCAAGTACTGGAAATGTGTGAGCGTGTTTCATTTGTTTGAAATTGTGGACCTAAATAAGGATTAAAATGTGTGCTTTGCAGGACCCATGCCAGCTGTCCAGGGAGGTAGCATCACTAAAGGCCTCCCAGGCACACGTGTGCACCAAGAACCGCCCATATCGTACCGTGGTGGTTCCATCACTCAGGTAAGAGTGTCTCTTGTGTGTGTTGTGTGTGTGTGTTTGTTGTGTGTGTGTTTGTTGTGTGTGTGTTTGTTGTGTGTGTGTGTGTGTGTGTGTGTGTGTGTGTGTGTGTTGTGTGTGTGTGTGTGTGTGTGTGTGTGTGTGTGCATGCATGCCTGCATGTCCTTTTCTAATTTTGAATCACTCAGCACTTGCTCTGTTGCGTAGGGAGTTTCTGTGTGTGAGTTTGATGCAAAACACTTAACTCACACACGAGTAAAGCCAGAGCAAAACAGACCGAACTACAAGACCAACAAAATGGGGTGACTTTCAGATTTTTATGAACATTTTTACAAAAGCTCCATGTTTGATTATATTAACAAAGTAATGATAATGAAGCGTGCACTGAGTTGAGTATGAGTGTAGGCCGATGCCAATGTCAGGTATCTTTCATGTACGTGTCTGCCGATGCCAATACACAAACATTTTTTAAAAATATATAAAAATACAGAAATGCAGGTCTAAATCTGTCTGCATTACAAAGAAGTAGAGTGTGTATTTCTGTGCAGTTACAAATGCAGTGAAATGTTTAGTCTTTCTAACAATGCAGCCCAGTGTCAGTGGAGCACTCTGTTCCTCTGGAGTGCAGTAACTACATCAAATATGGATTCGAAATATCGGTCATATCCAAACATTTTTTAATCTGCCGGTACTGTTGTGAATCTACAGTCTTCATGTGTCCCTAATAATATAGGATATGGGGTAGGAAAAATGGTTTCCGTTCGGTTACTGACTCTAAGTATTGAAATCTATAGATATTCATAATAATAATGAAGGACATATTATTACATATAGATAGTTGCATATATATTATACTTATTATTATCATCATAACAAACAGATAGATCGATAGATATGTATGTACGAGGCATTATTACAATGTATATGGGACATAGTATTATTAGATATATATGTAACACATACGGGACATTGCATGATATTGCATGTTACCAAAGTATAAAAACAAGTTTGTGTGTGTGCCACTTTCCGTCATGAGTGCCCACCCACATCACAGCGTGACATAACCAGTGCTCTGTCTACACTCTGTTGCCATAGCAGCAGGTACACAGTGTCCACTCCAGTTCTCTCCTTTTATTAATGTGTTTACACTTCTCCTCCGCAAGCCGGTGTCACAGATCACACACACACACACACACCACACACACCACACACACACACACACACTCTCACTCTCTCCCCCTCAGAGCATGCCAGCTCGTCTACTGTGACACAGATTTTGCTCGAGCTAAAAGGAATGTGGGACGAGCAGGGATGTTTAATCAGATGTTGCTCAAATCAGCATGCGTTCAGCTTCAGGGGCTTTTCAGCTTCACTTCACTCAATACAAACAGATGATTCTGTCTATCTCACACACTCCTAACACACACACACACACACACACACACACTCACACTCACACACACACTCAACTTCTTAATAGCGCACCATTTACATATATTTACTATATAATGTAAAGTGCTGAAAAGCAGCATTGCATGCACATAGGCCTGGGCAATTAGGGTGATGTAGTCGGATATCAGCCATGATTGACAAATTATTGCTAATGCTTTAAAGGCAGTAATGCAGTGCTGAAAAAAAAAGAAGAAGGATTAATAGAGAGCTACAGTAGTCTCATGTCATTTTAAATAGCTTGATAAGTAATATTAATCGATAAATGCATGGAATCTGTTATTTTTTTTAATTGTTAAAACTGTGGATTATTATGGAGGCTACAAGAGAGCAAGTTCCAAACTGTCTCTGCTGCAGATTCCATACTCTATCTCGTTTCCCAGACTGCAACATGCTGTAGCTGCGTACCAAAGCCTAGGCTGCACCCGAGGTAGTGCGGGTCCTCGGTAGGTCTGTCCTATAAAGACTCCTCCTTAGCAGCTTACTAGTCACACAAATGGAACAGTCCTAACTAGGCTGCGTGGTGACGTCACTAAAAAGGTCCCACCCTTTTAAAATTGCGGCACGATACTTGAGGAAGCTGGTGAGAGAACACGGAGCCCGTTGCGTTGTGTTTGTTGCTATGGTAGCTAATACGCTAACAAGCTTATGTAGCACGATAAACTACATTTATACAAATAAGCTTTGGAACGCAGCTTGTCTGAGGATAGTTCTTAGCATTTTCCATGCAGCTTCCCAAATGTTTGGATGAAATGTAAAGATATAATACATCATAGTTTGCCACGGGCATCTATAACTGAATTCCAGAGCGGCTCCACTGTAATGGTGTTTCTCCAGAACGGGGTTTTACTAGCACTCTTTTGTGCATCATTGAAAGAGAAGAAACAACTGTGAACCCACATCAACAGGTGCTCACAGATGCACCTTTTCAAATGAGGCGTGAAACAGTTTGCAGAAAAGGTTGTTATTGATTGTTGTTTCTTGTGTTTCATTCAAGAATTTATTTCAATGTACCCTATTGGTCAGAAGCTCACTCTGATGTATTGAAGAGCTGTTTATGATCTGAAATGCTGAGCTTAATCAGCCCCACGGCAGGTTAGGCATGTATCATGAGTTGCTGTGGTGATGTGTCGCATTGTGAGACCGGGTTAGATCGAACTTAAGCTTAAAGTTATCTGGCTAAGTAAGAAATCATGCTTCGTAAGACAGTCCTCAGTTCTGATGTTGACTTTTATTCTTGTTTAATTGCTTTAATCAAATTTAATCAAGGTTATTATAAAAGGCCCAGCATATGGTGCTGTTTTTGGAGCTTGAGTGTTTTTCAGGGCACCTATTCAAAGCGTGCTTCTGATCATAAGAGCAGCACGCGCATACACTCAGGCCCACTCTCTCTCCCTCCTCTCTCGAAAAGTTGATATTGTATTACATATGCTATTTTTGTTTAATATGCTGAGTGCTGGTCTCATGATAGTGTAATGAGAGTGGCTATTGTGTGTGTGTGTGTGTGTGTCTGTGCACAGGGCACCCCAGCAGACGTGCTGTATAAGGGCACCATCACTCGGCTGATCACTGAGGACAGCCCCAGCAGGGACAGAGCCAGAGAGGAAAACCCAGCCAAGGGACATGTTGTGTATGAGGGCATCAGTGGACACATTCTCTCCTACGACCGTGAGTCTAACGCTCTCACTTTACAGACACATACGCCATCACATAGCCCACGTTTTGGAGGAATAGTTTGGTGAAAAATCATATTTACACAGATCCCCTCTTTCCCCAAATGAGGTCGAATACGTGTTGGTGTCTGACGTTTGCTGCTGTTGTTTTGTGCTGCTGCTGTGAGGCTAATGTAGCAATGGAAAGCTAATACCCTCACAACCTAACTCATCACTCACTTGCCTCAAACTGTGTCAAGTTGTTAAGTTATCTCAAATAGACTTATGTGTTTTTGACACATTATACAATGGATAGTTCCTGTCCTGAAAACTGATTGGCTGAGTCGCGTTCAAAGCCGTTGTAAAATCCACGATACACGCACACCTGTGACCACCTCACAGCAACTGAACTCAGCACTGAACTCGGCACAAGCACAAAAATCCCTTGTGCTATTTATGGAATAATCTTTAACTCTCATTCTGCTCGCAGGAACCACCGAGTACATTGATGAAGTAAGAACCCGTTTTTTGTGTAAACTGAGGGACTGGAGGCTTACGTTCTTAACTAGAACTAGGCTGGTCAGCTTGCTAACAGGCTAAAAGCGTCAACAGCCTAAAGAACTCCATCATTAATATCACAGGCTTGAATTAAAGTACTTACGATATGATTCACTGTAAAACAACAGTATAATGTCTAAAGAAGGTCACTTGAATGTCTTACACACTTCAAATGTTCATGTTTCAGTCAGAAGTCGCCTCACACCCAGGCTGAATCCCAAACAGCTCCGTACTTCCTAAATAGTGTGCTAGCTCAGAAGTTTAGAAGTATGGATGTGTCTGAGTCCCAAATGACTAATTTTTACCTATAATATTTATTTACTGATTTGGTGCTGGATCCAGTATTAAAATTCCTAGTGCACTATGTAGGGAGCAGGAAGCCTTTTGAGATTCAGCCCCAGTGTGAGAAGAGGGGCGCCTCTAGATTGGTGCTAAATGAGGCTCGCAGTGGTAATTTGGTGACCAAGAAGTATTTATAAAGCGAAAGGTTTTTGCATTAAACTGTGCTGTGTTATTAAATGTTCATTGGTATATGACAGAAGGTTTGTGAAATGACTGCAGTACATAGTGATGAGCAACCAAACGCTCTTCTCCTCTTTCAGCGGTCCATGGTTGCTTGATACCATACTCTAAAGGAACTACATTTCTTGGCAGAATATTTGTTTGTCAATTATTAATAATAGTAACCAAAATTATTTCCGTGTGTATTTTATCATAGTGTATGTTGGCCGCCGTTTTATTAAAGCAATTAGCCACTTGAAACTGTGCGTTACTGCGATTTTATCACAGGCAAGGGAGCTTTAGGCGCACCGTGTCACGGCATGCACCCTTCCCTATGATAAAAACATGGTAACGCACAGCCTCTCATGGCTTATTGCTTTAATATGACCCGCTGTTGTCTTTAAACATAGACAACGTTTAGTCTTCAAAAGGGCTACTCCTGCAGTTTTAGCTATTCTGTATAAATTAGTCCATTTTCATAGATAACAGTATGTCAGAATCCACAAAGTCTCTTTAAGATTGCTTAGTAGCCCCACACAGTGATTGAGTGATGATTTGGACATGCAGTTTGCTAATTAGTGGGCTTCCATTGCTTGTTAGCTATGTATTTCACCTCCAGCGCAAAACTTATAAAGCAGCTCTTTCGTGCACAAAAAGCTCCCTGACGCTGATTGCCCACTGCTCTTTGCAGGGACTCCAAACCCTAAAGAGGAGGGTAGAGGGGAAGTGTTGGGACTCAAACGGCCATATGACGTCATGGAAGGGGGCATCTCTCGAGTGCTGCCGCTGCGGGACACCCTGTCTACTGCTGAGGGTCAGTGAATGGCAAAAGCTCCTTTTGCCTTCTGCTTCCTACACTATTATTTATGATTTCTTATTCATTCTCCTGCCTTTCCCTTTTTTCTTGTAGGTTTGATAGGCAGAGCAATGCCTCAAGAGAGGGAGAGTCCTCATCCTCATCATATTCGTGGTTCCATCTCACAGGGTGAGTCGCAGTTACAAGTGCTTCGGATTTGGAAACGTGAAGGATTTCAAGAAGTTGTTTTGCGTGTTTGTTAGTTTTCTCCATTTTACACTGAGAGTCCCCTTTATGTTATCCACTGACACTCAAACTGTTTGGTGATCATCAGCAGTGTTAGGGCAAGATTTAAATGTAGGGTTGATTTAACAGGTTCTGATAATCTACGAAGTGTCTATAGTGGACTCTCAAAATAAAGTGTTTTCAAAACGTGTTTAATGAAACACAGCAACAGTAACGAATGTAAGCAGACGTTTATAGGTAAATAAGTGACTCCTAAAAGTAAGTTGCTTCAGCAAAATACAGAATTTCTTGCCCTAAATCAGTGAAAGCACTGAGGTAACACTCAGTAACAGGTCGAAAACTGTCTTTTTAGAATGACTAATAGATCACTGCATGTCTGTCTGTGTCCCTGTCTCTCCTCTCTCTCTCTCTCCTTCTCTCTTTCTTTCTCTCAGGTATTCCTCGTCACGTGGAGCCCCAGGATGAGTATTTGCGGAGAGAGGCTAAGCAGCTGAAGCGTGACTCGCCATCCCCCCGTGGCCCAGCCCTCGGCTCTGACTCCCTTAAAGGCCGACCACACGAGAGCATCGTGCCCACTGTTAAAGAAGGGGGCCGATCCATTCATCTCATACCACCCGAGGGCGTGATGATGAGCAAACCGCCCAAAGAGGGCTCCATCACACAGGTAGCTACTACAAACTCAGCCCATAAAGGGGAGTTCCACCGATTTTTCTAAATTTCCGTGTGAGTATACTGTTAAGATGTAAACAGTCACTCAGAGTTGTTTAATGTGGACTGCCCCATTGTAGAGAAACTTTTCACAGTGGTGGTGATGGGAACCAGATGTCGGAAGTACTTAATAACTACTTAATAAATTACATGAAATGGTTATAAGTATGATTCTTCTTTCCTGAGACATTGTTTTGCAGTAGTTTTGAGAAGGTTTTGGACAAAAGCATTCTTTTTTAAATGGTGGACAGATACATGCTGGACATCATAAGGCAAAAGAAAACTTTTTTTTTGGTTTTACTATTTTTTTTTTACTATTATCAACAAGTGAAAATGTAGAAGTTTATTGTTTACATTTCAGCAACATTTACGCAGAAGTTTAAAAAAAAAGTGGTGAAATTCTCCTTTAAACCGTGTGTTATTTAGTTCATCTTAAGGCTTATTATCTATTAACTTCTATAAATTCTTCAGCAGCCACTATAAAACAAAGTAATGTATTTGCTAGAGTGAGGAACCTGAGCCCACCAACTGTAAGGTTTCAAACACGGTCAGACGCTCGCAGATGTAACTTACAGAAAGGGCTTTCGGAGGCTGTGTGACACCAACAAATCCGTAGATTTTAGGTTGGTTTAAAAGAGAACTTTTACTGTGTGGTTATGGGCCCCCGACGGCCTTCATTTATGTACATTTTTTTATGATTGCTTGTTGTTTTACATAAACAGGGTACTCCTCTCAAACAGGAGCCGGCGGGTTCCTCCAAGCGCCATGACGTTCGCTCCATCATAGCCAGCTCCCCACGGCCTTACTCAGGGCTGCCCCCACACCTGGATTTGCGGCCTGAGCACCGGGGGTCTGAGCGTGGACGCTACGAGGATCCAGCACCCAAATCCCGGCCCAGCGCGGTGGTCAGCACCTCCAGCTCTCTGGCCCGGGCCTCCCCGCTGTCCCTGGCGGGAGAGCAGGGAGGAAAAGCCCACCACAGTCCTGTGGGTTATGATGAGCACAAACGGTCCAGTTACACCTCAGCCTCACACAGAGGATCACCTCTGTCCAGCAGAGACACGCCCCAGCGGCCACACGAAGGTACAGCCCAGCTTTTAGGTACAATGGCCTACACAGGATGTCTGTGCAGACATGTAAAGCTCCATTAACCAAGATATTAAAATACATTATTCTTTCCGTGTGTACCTCTCTCCCTCTCTCTTTTATCCCGTCTCTCTTAAGTGCTCTCAGAGCTGGATTAGTTTCACCAGAGTAATTTGTGTGATCAGGATTTGGCTGTCCAGCTGTTTTGTGATTTAAAACACTTTATTTCCCCAAATTCCCACAGATAGTCCAGATTGAAAGGTCATAGTCTGAATGTTCACATAAAGTTATGCCACATGGCACATTCAGTAACAATAACAACACCCTGCACAGCCGTGTCTGTTAGCAGTTTGTGTTATTGGACCCAGACTACTAATATTGAGAGAACTCCCAGTTCTGCCAACTAAAAAAAGACCATTCACTATTATTAATGAGCCGTAAAGAAAAATTATTTATTATGTAAAACACTGATAATTAACACTCACTTTTGTCTCTCAGGTTCTGCTAAAGTTCCTCAGCAGGAGAGGAAGTCAACACCCACTCCTCGTGAGGTGGGCTCCACTAAATCTCCCCTGACCGGCGTGGCTGAACACCCTGCCTCTCTTGCCTCCTATGAGCGGCTGCTGCAGGGTTTGGGAGCAGATATGTACCGCGGCCAGATTCCCCTGCCCTTCGATCCTGCCACCCTACCTCGGGGCATCCCCATAGACCCAGGTAACTCATACACGCGTTTCAGCCAGTGTATTAAATCGTCGCTGTCCAAAGAAAAACAAATATTTCCAAAATAGTAACTACGAGGCCTGAAAACATTCTCAATTTCAGTGTGAGTTAATGAAAAGAGATTTTTGAAAGTGATTTTGGAGGATTTCTATTGGTCTATTCATCATGAAATTTTCACACAATGTTAAGGGCAGCTATTGAGCTCAAAAATGGAGATGTGTGTTTTTCTTTGGGCAACGACAACATGCAAGCAGTGTGTGATATCAGGAGCTGACATTCATAGAAATATAGGAAAACGATTTCAGAATTACAATTTACAACTAATGTTCAGGTACAAGTAAGGAAGAAATGCATTAAAGACCTTCAGTGCCATATAATATAATTAGTTATTTGAAAATAAATCATTCCATTGATCTGAATAGCCTAAAGAATTTGTGACCACCTGCATGTTTAGATTTTAAAGTGTTATTCTCCCTGCACTTATATGCAAGTTATAATATAAACTTGTTTTAAAACGCAGAAAAGTTATTTGTATTGTTTAGTTATTGGTATTTGTATTGGATACAGCAAGGTGCTAATTATCAGTAATTGTTATGAGGCCAGTGCATACTTATTATAAACTCCTTATATATTATTCTATAGGCTATTATGCGTTGTTCTCTGAGCATATGGTATTTGGGTTTCTCTCCTGTCCACAGCTGCATACTACCTGCCTCGGCACCTGGCCCCAGCCCCAGGTTACCCCCACCCTTACCCCCCTTACCTGATCCGGGGCTTCCCTGACACAGCGGCTCTGGAGAACAGACACACACTCTTCACCGACTACATTACCTCGCAGCAGATGCACCAGTGGCCGGCAGCCGCCATGGCTCAAAGACCAGACCTGCTGAGAGGACTGACACCACGAGACCAGCCACTCGCTTTACCGTACTCACCCACACCAAGAGGTACACATGCATAATCACCTCACCTTAAAGGAGCAGTTTGGCCAAAAAAAGGTTTGCTAATGTAGCTCACAAGTCATGGAAATTTATAACCACCTATTCACAAAAAAATGTCACAAAAGATAAAAACAGGACTAGCAGCCATCTTTAAGCATTGCTTTCTGTCTGAACTTTCGGCCATTTTTATAGATAACAGTATGCCATCGGTGTCAGTAACCACATAAACAAGTCCGTTTGTGATTACTTAACAGCTCAGCATGATTTGAGGCAAGTGTGTGATGACTTGCTTTGTCCACACAAACAAATGTTATGCTGAAACAGGAAAGGGCCTTCCCCAAACTGTTGCCACAAAGTTAGATGCACACAGTTCTCTATAGTTTCTTTGTGTGCTGTAACATTAAGATTTCACTTCATTCAAACTCCAAAACCATGAAAAAATATTATTCCTCCTCCACCAAACTTTCAGCCAGCATCCACCCAACTTAGATTCATCCATTTTATCACTCTTGAAACTGTCTTTCTGCTGCTTCAGTGGCAGTCCAATCCTCTAAGCTCACTACTAACAGTTTTTGTGCTGATGTTGCAGTTTAGAATGGTAGTGAATAACCGAGGACAGACCATTTTCAGCACTACATACTTCACAACTTACTCTGTTCTGTGTGTTCATGTGGCCCACTGCTTTGCAGCAGAGCTGTTTTTGCTCCTTGGCTTTTCCATTTTACAATAGAAACACTTACAGTTGACTGGGGCAGCTCTAGCAGGACAGAAGTTTGATGAACTGACACAGTGGAAAGGAGGGGAAAAAAAAATAATAACTCACACCGCAGCTGTTGGGTTCTTCTACGCTCTCACACATTCTACAGGTCCTAAATGCCTGGCTGATATTTCTTTTTCTGTTCTTTTTTGCCTTAAGGAGCATCTGCATCTCCAATGGACCGGATTACATACATCCCAGGAACCTCCACCACCTTCCCCAGCCGAGCGTACACCTCCTCCCCCATCTCACCAGGTACAGAGAACAGATTTACACCCACTTACATCCACTTATTCTAGTTCAGTACAAACAAAAACACTCACTCTCTCTTTCACACAGACACAGTTCCACACTGCAATTGTGTAACATACTCACTAATGCTTTTTCACTGACAGTGCAAATATAAAAGTGTAATATATGAAAAATGAATACACTGCAATGTGTTTATATTCTGTATATTAGTAACAAATTCCAACATATCATTTTCATATAGGTGGCTGTATGTGACAAACTCGCTGTCATGACAAAACCTTGTATCTCCAAGTTTGCAACTCTAAATGGAAGTTGCAGGGCGGTTTTGGACACCAGCCTGTATTTAAAGGACTTAGAAAACAGAAAACTGTTAACACAGAACTGGGAGAGCATTAAGAGTCTGGGTGGTATTATCATTTTAATTATAATTTAGTGTATAAAACAATGCTGTCCAGTAGGTTAACGTGTGAGGGTGGTTGAAGGTAACACAAAATGGCTTAATTAACAGTAATTAAGCCAGCTTATAATCAGTTTAGTCACATGTTATGGCTGAGTGAATAATGTGATGAGGCTATACAAAAGATATGGTAATTTAGACAAATACCATATTGAGAATACTACCTGAGAATACTACCATGATATAACCTGGTATGTAGAGAAAGAGAGACTCCAGAGACATCCTCCAACCTGAAAGAGCATCACTGAGTCTCTGCAACGTAGTTGCTGATAGTAGCTGTCCATTTGGGATGGGGGTGGGGTAGCTCCTCAAACGAAAGCATGGTAGAGATCTTTTTTAGCCCTACAAAGTTAGTGCAACATGATTTCTCTTTCTCATTTCTGTTGGTCCATTCATCATGGAATTTCAAGACATTGTAAAGGACAGCTAGCATTTCTAAAATTATATAAAAACATAAAACAAAAAAAATGGAGAACCAAGGTTTTATCCTGACAGTGATATGTAGGTGTAACACAAACATAAAATCTTTTTTTTGTTTGTTTCTCAGTTGGAAGCTCTCACATAAGCAAACTCCAGGGCACCCCAACGTCATCCGAGCGAGAGCGCGAACGAGAGAGAGAGCGAGAGAGAGACCGGGAGAGGGAGAGAGACCGCGAAAGAGACCGGGAGAGGGAGCGGGAGAGAGAGAGGGAACGAGAGCGGGATAGAGAGAGAGAGAGGGAGAGGGAGAGAGAGCGAGAAAGGGAGAGAGAGCGAGATCGAGACAGAGACAGAGAGAAGTCCCTGAGCCACGGCAATGTGGAGCACGCCCCCATATGGAGACCAGGTAAACACACAAACAAACTCTGCAGGAACTCAGATTTACACTCAATCATTTCCTACAATGGTGTGTATTTACAGTGCATCTTAAAGGGCCCATAGCTTATGTTTTCTTGTTTTTTCTATCCTCTCATTATCCACTGTTTTTTGTACTGTGGCTTTAAGACTGATATGTATAAATGACCATATGTATGTAAGACTGGGGGGTATAAATTATTGATGTCCTGATTGCTCTGTATCGTGCCTCATTCGAAAAGCATTCTGGTCTCAAACACTCCGTATATCTTCAGTATAAGTGGCAGATAAATGTATGTGTGTTGCCTTTTGTGACGTCGCAAAAACAATGAATTTAAAAGGGCTGTTTTTGCAGCTTAATTTCCACGCAACATATGGACTGGAACATTTTGGAACAGTGTTTACATATTACAACAACGCTTTCATTTAAAAGATCATTTTTCCATGGTTTGAAACAGCATTCTCATGTTCTGTACAGGCTTTCAGTAGTGAGTCAGTGGCCTTATTAAAGCCACATATTCCTCCTGTGACAGAGAGCCGTTTCTCTCTCTCCCAAATTAAATACAGCCACCAGCACTGTTTCCTGGGGGGTATTTCACAAAGCAGAATTTCTCAGTTAAATAGATGCTTTGTCAAGCCCTTCCAAAAGCAGGAGAGCAAAGGGACATTCGTATTAGCCAGTTAGATTATCTAGCCTACTGAGAAATCCTGTGTTGTGAAATTCACCCATTGGCCTGCTTGACATATTGAGGATTTTGGCTGGAATGCAAAATAAACAGAGAATAATAATGTTTTTATACAAGCTAATTATAGCATCTGAAACATGTTGAAAACACTCAGATGAAAAGAACTTACTACATCTGGCATTTATCAGCAAAAGAGCGGAATTGTTACTTGTCTTCTATTTCTGGGATCCTTTTAGTCTCAGTTGAAATGCTAAACCTTCAAAGTAAGAGGCAAAGCAGCTTAAAATGGAAATAAGTGAAAAATTATTCACTTCTATGTTTGTGAAGAAGTATTGTCATTAGAAATTGTTCAGAAGTACTAATCCGTCAACATTTTATATAAGTAAACTGAGGAGTAGTTACTACCCGACTCTAGCCCTCCTAAATGTTCCTCTCTCTGATCTCCCTCCTCTGTAGGAGCAGCAGAGCAACCTGGCAGCAGCAGTTCCAGCTCGCGTCCTCCCTCCCTCCCCTACAGTCACCAGGCATCCCCTCTGAGCCCCCGTCCGCAGGACAGCCTCCAGCAGAGGCCCAGCGTGCTGCACAACACCAGCTCCAAGAGCCTGTCCAGCTCAGAGCACTCCAGCTCCTCTGTACTGAGGTAAGAGATGGACTACGGCCAGGAGGATGAAGCCTTTCAGAGTATTGCAGAGATAGCGTTGATGATCTTATGCACTGATCGACCTTCCTGCAGAGTGTAGCCTCATCCACCAAACGCGATTCACCTCCTGATGGTCTTCGAGTCTTGGGTTATCTGAGTCTGAACGATTTGGCTTGGAGGTGAAATCTTTAAGAAGGTAGATCTCCAGAGAGACGTCTGAATGAAACAGCATGAAATCTTAATTAACTTGGCCCACCTGTTTTTAAGCTGCCATAAGACATCATGGTCCCTCTACATAATTAAAGTGAATGTTGACTGACGCTTGTGCGTCCACTGAGGTTTGCCATTCTGCTAAGCACATCCAATTTCAGTATAACTCGGCTTTAAATGTTATCTGTGCATCTACACCAGGGGTTCTCTATCCTGCTCTGCACATTTAAATGTTTTCCTGCCTATTTCAACCAATGAAAGGCTTGTTAAGGGCTTCTTTGTATGATTAGTTGGGTCAGGTGTGTCTGAGGAGGTAAAACACCCGAATGTGTAGAGCATTGGCAGTTTCACACTTACTTGTTTGCTAGGGAAGATTTAGTTCGACAGATGTGAACGCTCCACACAAACTCAGGTGCGCACTAAGCAGCTAACCACAGTTTGATAAAAATCGTGGCTCTTGATTCGCTTCCAGATGAACTCTGGTTCACTTCACTACTGGTGCTCATATTGTTTTTGCAGCACAAGCTGCTGCTAATGAACAATGGCGAATATTTGATTCTGGCACATAGACCATTTTTGATACACTGGGCCAGGCAGCTGTGATCCGATCTGTTCAATTCAAATTGACGCAGAATTAAACCAACTGATTAAAATAAAAAATAGAGGTCAAATAAGGTTTATTTTTATTACTCTTATTGCGATACATCTACACATTATGGGTCACTCTTTTCATTCAACATAATCAATGCGATTTACATCTAATCAGGGGTATGTTTAGCCTGTTTAGACTCTAAAGGTATAAAGGGTACACTCACTCTCTTTAAAGTCCCAAGGATACTAAAATTGAGTGTTATATATTACATATACAGTAAAGTCTGGGGGGAAAAAGGATAGAAATAAAGATGGTAAAACGCTGTTTTAACCTGCTGATCAGACCTGTCAGAGGACTGTCTGGGTGTGGTCCTATTGTTCTAATGAACACACTTGTTTGACACGCCTTAGTTCAGCAATCCCAGCTAGTTATGCTTAGCTTTCGCTTGGTTGTCAGCTTTTGTACAGTGGGTTTCTGTGACTCTGAGAGAGAAACTATTGGAAACATTGTGATTGGTGAAGGTAATGCTTACGTCAGCATTAACCAGGATTAGGATTGACCAGCCTGTGTCAAAAGGAAACTGTTTTGGCTATTTGCGGCTTTTGGTTTTGTTTAGTCCTAATATGAATGTTTTTAACTCTTCTCCTCAGGTCTTTGCCACAGGGCTCCTCCCGCTATCCGAGCTACAGCGGGCACCTGCAGAGGGTCAGTGTGTCTGAGGCTTACTCAGTAGGCCTGGACCCGGGCGGGGCGAAAGAGCCTGTCCGAGAGGGGTCCAAGAGCCAAGGGCGTGGAGCTCTATCCAAGCACCAGGACCTCTCCTCGTCCTTGTCCTCCTCCAAGTCCGAGCCCAAGCTGGCGAGCCCCGGTGCGCCCGGGGTCTACTCCTACACCCCTGGCGCCCACATAGGGCGAGGGCTCCCCCTGCTGGCTTCCGAGAGCAGTGCCGGCTCCAGCAGCAGCGCGCCAAGTAGGGAAAAGACTCAAAACAAAGCGATGTCCATTCAGGAACACGAACTTCGCGCACTCGGTAAGACCACCATGACAGCGGCCAACTTCATAAACGCGATTATCATGCGTCAAATTTCTTGTGATACGGGGATGCCAGAGGCTGGTGCTCTCGGGGCCAACGGCGCCTGTGATGGTAAGACGCTCTGGACCCCCGGGGCCGTTAAAAAACACCCACCCCCATCCCCTTGTCCCTTTCCCTTCCCAGCATCCTCCGCGCCCCCTCCCCTTCCTCCCATCCCTGCGTCTGTGGCCTAGTGCACGCTTTGTGGTGGTTGGCATTGATCAGAATCAACCCAGTTTCATAAGTGCATTCCTTTTGTTCAGTTTGGGTTAATTTTTTTATTTTGCTTTTTTATCTTTGTATTTTCTCTTTTTCTTTTAATATATTAAATTAGGGCTGCACAATATATTGTTTGTTAATCGCTATATCAATATTGGCCTTTGCTGTACTTATATAAGCAAATATGCTCACCAGTCAGTTCCAAAAGACTGTTTCTGTGGGTGTATTAATGAATCAAAGTATTACATTGATTCTGATCAACATAATGCAGGCCCGTCTTTAACCAAATCACAATGTTGATTCACTAGTGCATTTCTGAAATATGGCAAGGCGTATCTCACTCACAGTATGTAGCAATGTGAGTGCGACACTGATATTTTCTCCATATCGTGCAGCCCTATTTCAAATATTACTTAAAGACCACCAAGGGTTTCACTCTTGCATATTGGGTGAATCATTTAATCTTAACCACAGGCATATTGGATCTTTCTGAAGTATAGAATCCTTATGGAAGGATTCTGCAACTATTACAGACTTCAGAACTTTATACGTGAATTTCTATCTATTGTTTGGTAAGTAATGGCCACAGGCGTGTAATTGTGATCCATTCTGCACTCTCGCAGTCCAGAATGTCCTACTGGGAAGGCCCCATGCTGCTCACTGAAAGAGATAGATCCTTAGGTGAACTTTAAGAGCTCATTCATTCAGCAGTGATGCGGTCGCTAAGCCTCGCACAACAGTCTTTATCTGCCTGCCTTTCATGTGTTTTCTTTTTTCCCCCCCTTTAATTTGGGCGAACATTCTCATCGCTTTCATCTTTGATTCAGAGGTTGTGTTTCTTAGCTCTCAAGGGAATCTGCTTGCTGTATTTGGATAGCTGTGTGAAGGAGGAATTGAAAGGGAGAAAGCGGCAGCATGAGGTCGGTTACGAAAGATGAGGGGATGGGGTTCAGAGAGAGAATGGACGAATGTAGGTACTCCTCCCAGCCTCAGAGGAAGGTTAGGAAGTTGTGAAAGAGGTTAACAATACCTTTAGCCCCCCAGAATCTGCTTGTGCACTGCAGACCAAACGTTTGGGGACGCCTTGCTTTTAGTTTATTGTTTGATGTCAGTACTCTTCTGTGTCATCCTTCCAGCTTGTCAGCATTAGTGTTAGCGCAGTAAGCCATGACAGAGTAAAAGGTTGTGTGTAGATGCTGCTAAAAGTCCTTCGTTTTGGATTTTTAGTGCTGCTGTATGAGGCTCTGCCCCTTGAGAGGCCAACGCAACCAAATTATTAGTGCTGTTAATAACTTAACTATTTAATTTACTAACTTACTTAATAATAATCACAGTCAGCACTTAAAAGGGGAGTGTACTATATATTGTCAGCTTCCAAACTGTAAATCCACTAATGTTTCTAACCTTAAAATCATTAGCAACAGCAACAGTTTATCCTGTTTTATGCCAGATGTTCTTTCTGCTGGTAATTATACTAATTCTGTTAATAGACATGGCAACTAACTAAGCGGTAATCCCTCAAATTAACAACACTTTCTATATTCAAAACAGTTCTGTATAAATCAGTATAACTATGATACTGCTTAACCATCCATGGATGGTCTGATCATATTTGGTCTAACAGATCTAGTAAAACAGATAGCAAGAAACAAATTTGAACACAACAGAATATTTCACGTTCATTGGGGAACTTAATGGGGAACCTGTATTATTATCCAAGCTTTATATACCTGCTTACCTCCAAAATTGCAAGGAAATTGCAAGTAACCTATATGGGTTGACAGCTACGAGATCTTCTCAGAAGTAATGTTCTTCACTAACAGGAGGCTGTGGTCCGCAATAGTTTTTAATAATGGCACATTAATGCCATATTCAGTTGATATAGTTGGTAATAATTATGCATACCAAGTGTTTTATTATGGCTCAGTCAGTCAGATCTCAGAACTGGAGCTGTATGCTGTGTAACACCCACTTTCTGTGGGTACATTTAGCTTCAACGCTCTGCTTCATGTTTATCAAAATGTCTTTCGTGATATGAGAAGCAAGAGGCCAAAGGCGGTTCAAACACGTGAAAGGTGTGTAGATGAGTGCTGACATCACAACAAGAGGTCGAAATTTGTGGGTTTCGGTTTTATTCCCAAGGCAGCAATATTGTCACAAACACACACATTTTTTTCCTCAAAATGAACCTGGTCAATTATCCCAAACTGACAAAGAGAACATGCTCAGTTGTGGTGTTTGTGAAGACTAGGTGTGACACTGCGCTCTGTCCAAAATCTGTATTTGTCTGGTTTGCAGTGCTCTTGTACTCTTAGATCTTCTGCATTCAGTGCAAAATAGTAGTAAATGGTGCTGTTTGTAGCTCACGGTGTCCATTATGAGGTTATTCTGTGCAGCAGAACACAGCGCAGATTGCTTTAATGGCTGTTTTAATGGGGAAGGAAGCCCAGCAGTGGAAGTAAAGCAGTTGGTCCTGACGGTATCGAGCAAAGAAAGCGGTTTAGTTTCAGGCTTTCTTTATTTTGTGATAGTGCTGATTGTAATAAACACTTTGTGAAGTAGATACAGAGATGGAAGATGGTGGGAGTAAAGGAGATCATCCTGTAGCACAGTCTCTGGCTGCTTAATGCACATTTACTGTTCACTATCTGCTTCACATTTCAAAAGCATTTTGCTTCTGCTTTTTTTTCTTGTTTGTTTAAATGTGGTTCTGCTGTAGTGCTGAGGAGAAGTAGAGTTAAAGGTTAAGTTCAGTGTTTTTGGACCAAATGACATCTTTTTTTTTTTCAGGAGGTTGCTGTTCAGTCTAGATGAGCATTTTGATGATTGTGTCTCTGAGTAATTAACTGCAACAGCAGCCCTTTAATGTGTCATGAAAATGTGCTCAGATGACTCAAAATGGCAAACGCCCTGGTTTTCTGTGATGAAAATGAGAAAGAAATTAATGTTAGACATATTCATATTCTGAAGGCTTCAGTAATGTAGCTTCACCTGTCTGTATCTAGATGCTGAGATACACCTACACTCCTGTCAGAATGTATTGTCCCAGTCGTTTGGGTTTTGGGCTGGTCAGATCACTGACAAACAATAGAGATGAATGTGGTTTTAATAATTAAAACAATGTCTGAAGTTTTTACAAGACCATTTTAAAAGAAAGTCTTCTTAAAAGCCCTTAACATACTTGGGCTCTGTTCCTTACAAAGCTACAGCAATGCAGTATTTCTAATGCAAATCATGAATATTTTAATGTGGAAATATGATTTGATCTTCCTTCCCTTCCAGCTTTTTTCATAAACCTTAAGCCCTGAAGAGTCGTACCTTACAGTGATGTGAAGCAGAATGCTTAAACCATATAACTATGATAATGTGTTATATGGTGTTAGTGTTATGCAGTGTTTTGAGTCTGGAAATATGATTAGGATTTCCATCCACTGAGCGAATATTCTCATTTCAGAGATCCTCGTTTCAGAATTATTCGTTATACAGTGGAATAACCTCGTTAAGCAGTTTGCTTCAAACCGTACATCTCAGAAATGTTAACTTTCTTAACTTTAATTGATTTACATAAATGTAAGAAGACAGTATTCCTACTAATTATGGACCATTTCTATTGATCCATTCATCATGAAAATGGTCACAAAATGTAAATAGAAGCTGGCGATTTCAAATGTTGCACCAACACTGCAAAAAATGGTATCTTATCAAGTAAGTTGTCTCAAATATAGATAGAGATACAAAGATATATATTTATCCACATTTTTTACTTGGTTTTAATACATTTTATTAAGTAAAATTGTCTCACTGTATTGGCAAATAATTGTGCTTGTTGTAAGAAATGTGTCTGAAACCAGCAAAATTATCTGCCAGTGTAGTGAGATCATTTTTACTTAATAAAGTGACCTAAAATAAGCAAACAGTGTCTAGAAATAAGGTAACTAATCCTATGATAAGTGCACAACCATCTCAAAATGGGAAATATTTGATATATGGACTATATTTAATTTTGCTTGAAGATACCATTTTGTAATAATAGCTTCCTTTTATTCATTTTAGGGCGCAGAAAACACATTTGGGTTTTATCCTTTGCTGCCCAATAAAACCTTTTTGTTCTGTAATGAAGGGCTTCTGTTACAGTCAATTACTCAGTAGTGTGTTGATGGTCAGAGTGAGTGTCTGGATCGAATGGCAGCACATCACAGGTGTGAGATTTGGTTCAAAACCACAGACTCTGGCCTTTAAGCAGATGCTTTCTGTTTTTTTGGGCTTGATTTTTAAACACTACCGTCATTTGAGTGAACCTGAATTTGGCCGTGCTGCTTCTGTGCTAGCCCTGGACGCTTTCTCGTAGCAATATGTTAACGTCTAGACTGTTCTTTTTCTGTGTGTGTGTGGTGTGTACAGCTCAGCAGAAGGCTTTGGAACAGCACGGATTATACGGACCCCCAGAGGACAGACTGTCCCCTAGTCAGCAGCCCCCGTCTCCCGCTGTTAAAGGATCCCAGAGGGTGGTAACCCTCGCCCAGCACATCAGTGTATGTCTGTCTCTCTCTCTCTCTCTCTCTCTCTCTCTCTCTCTCATGCTAAAATTTATGGATGCATCATGTTCAGAAGAGCAAAAAATACATATATTCTTTAATTTTTAGCATAAGCATAGCATATTTTTTTTAAATTATAGGCTTAGAACTCGAAGCCCGCAATTTGCAAACAAAAATGTAGATACATTTTAGCCTTCATATCTTCAAAACAGTTTAAGCTACAGACATGATGCAGATATCAGACCATTCGGCAGACCTGGCCCAAACTAGCTAGCGTGACATTGAGCTGAGACGTCAGCATCAGTGAGTAATTCAGCTTGGAAAATCACCCAAAATCCTGTTATTGTTTTTGGCCTTCATTTTCCAACAAAGGGTTAAAACAGCGACATGATTCACTCATTAGGTCACTCATCAGACTCTGCCCTCATTATACTGAGTTATTTCATCCACCTGTGACCGTCAATCAGCCAGCAATCCAGCTCCAAAATCACCACAAATCCACTCGCTACTGTTATATTGCATCTCTGCTTTTAGCGTTCATATCATAAATAAAGGGTTCAAAATAGTGACATTATTCACACGTCAGAACACTCAGAGGAACCTGCTCTAACATCCTACAACCCAGAAATACAGCTCATACACAGCCATAACCACTGTAAAACCTGCTATTAGCTCTCATTCAGCCTTCATTGTCAACAAAAGGTTAATGTGTATTAAGCCCATTGTTGGACTAGTAGAAATGCATTTGTCTTATTCCACAAGATGATCAATTGAGTTATTAGGGACAGATAGACAATGTAGTGGATAATATGACTGCCCTGATCATGAAGGAATCAGAAACACCATTGTAATATACCAGTAAGAGTCATAGAGACTCCCAACACTACAGTTACTTACCGTTATAAACTGCAGGGGGCAAAAGCTTTAGATAAATATGTAAGCAGAAAGCCCAAAATAAAGTTTTTGGTGATCAATCACAACATATCACAAAATCATTTAACATCGCAATAGAATTGTTTCACGGCTTAAGTATTGTGACAAAATCACGTGTTGGGTTTATAGTGATTCCCTCTCCTAACTGGGTAATCTGATTAAACTGAGTTTGAAATGTGGTAAATAAATTTATTTTATTCCATTATAATAAGTCTTATTATTGGCAGAATAAAATTCAAGTATAAAATGCTTTTCGTTGTCCATTTTCTCCTACTGTATAAATGCTTGTAGTCTTGTGTTTATTCTGTGTTTTGTTGAAACTTCTGAAGCATACCAAGAGAATCAAATGGAATCAGTGACATTTAAGATTTCATGAGACAAATTGTTCTCTGGATCCACTTATTTTAAGATCAGATGTTCGTGTCTCTGTGTGCATGTGTCCTCAAACTCATGACCTTTTTATCCTCCATAATCCAGTTAAAGAACTGAAAGTGCTGAGTTTTGATTGCATCCTAAATCTATCTTTAATCTTCCTTCCTCTCTCAGGAGGTCATAAAAAAGGACTACATGCGTCAGTCTCAGCAGGGTCAGTCCGGAGGTCAGCAAGCACTGCAGCCTGTGTTTGGATACCACAACTCCCCTGTGTTGGATCTCACTCGGCCCCCCAGTGCCCCCCAGGCCCAGACACCTTCTGAGCCTGGTGCCAATGCCCGGTACACCCCCGAGGGTCCTGCCAGTGAGAGAGACAGGATGAGGGACAGGTAAGGAGAGGGGCTGGAACCTGCTGCTGTGCACCGAAACACTGAAATCATGTAGTTCTTCTGCTACTAATTATTAGGGAGGAAAAGAGATCTAATTTCTGCACTAATAATGAGTAACAGTTGTGGCTGGTAGCAATAACCAATAATTTGACATTTTATACATTTGAATTTACACTACAAGCAGTATATGAACCACAGTGAGTGTAAGACAGGTTAAAACTTGAAAGATGTGATCTGCTGCTTTTTTTTAGCTGATATGGGTTACGCTAATGATGAGTTTCCTTTGACTTATTTTGTTAGATATATTTTGAATTTTTTTGTGAATTTATATCTTATATCTCACCTCAACTTTTGTTGTGAAGTGTAATTCTGTTGTCCTCTGTCGAAACTGAAAACTTCCACCCCTCTGACGTTTTCATTCTGCATAAGTGCACAAAGAAAAACGTTACTGGCTTTAATAGCAATATCCAGCTGACAGTAGTTACATTTTCCCGTTTATTGACCAATATTATTGGCTGCCAATCTATTGTGTACTAAGGGGTGAACAGTATGACAGTATATATTGCTACCATGATGAAATACATCACAGTATGGTTTTGTGGATATTGTGAATATTTAAGAAAAGCTGATCAACTGCATGTACCATTACAAAAAGAGCATAATTAGTCCCATTTAATTAGATTTAGTGCAGTGTGTGAAATGTTGCAGAAAAATCATTATTTGTAGTTTTAGATAGTATTTTTTCTACTGGTTCTTTGTCGGTTTCAGTTTATCAAACCTCAGAAAAAATACTGATCTATTTCTTGTTTCCAAAAAAATATTGTGATGCCATATTTCTGCCCTATCAAACACCTCATGCTTTTTTTCTCTATTTCTATATCATTTACAAAAGTATATTTGGATACACGCCGTTTCTGTACTGCAGTGTATTGTCTAAAGGCACTTGCCAGTATTTGACTGACTCTCACATGTGTGCAGATCTCCTCTTCAGAGTAAGGTGTCTCCAGTGAGTCTATCTGCTGAATGCATTGAGCCAGTGTCTCCAGCAGGGGGCATGTCTGAGCCAGAGTCGCAGGGAGCTGCCTGCCCCACTGAACAAGCAGAACAGGGGTATAACATGCACAGTTACTCTGAATACACAGTGAATATGTGCACAACATATTGTTTATTAATTGATATCGCAATATTGAACTTTTCAAGGATGTCTTTTTATTATATAACAAGCTATATCACAATCACAGCACTGTTGTTTTGTGCAGCCTTCAGTTTGAGTCGTTTCTTTTGTTCTTCTTCTCTATCAGGTTGGGTTCTCGCTCTCCTGCCAGCAGCTCCCAGCCCCCAGCCTTCTTCAGCAAACTCACCGAGAGCAACTCTGCCATCGTCAAGAGCAAGAAGGAGATGATCAAGAAGATGGTGGTTGGCAGTGAGACTGATTTCAGTAAGTTTTTAGACTTTGCAGGCTTTCTGGGCCAATCCACCTGATCTCCAGAGACTTCAACTGAGCCTCAAGATCTCGCACATTGAGTGTGTTTACATGCGCTCAATAATCCAATCATAATTGGATTTCTGCAAATGGCCATGTAAACAGCACACTCCGATTTCTTAGATCGGAGTAAGGTCTAGAAATCCGATAAAGAGAGCTGGAGTTTAGCTCAGTAATCAGATTCCTCTGTGCATGTGAACTCTTACCCTGATTTCTTTCGGATTTCTCAGTCTGTGCATGTGCAGAACAGACTGCAGTACCGGAAATAAGCGAGCAGTGTTGCTGCGAGACGCAGCAAAACACACTTCGAGTGACACTGAAACCAAATACATGCTTGACGAAATGAAGGATTTAAATATTCTTTATCTTCTATATGACGTATGTTCATATTTCGGGTAAAGTGGCGTGATGATTAATAAAAAAAAAAGCTGCGGCATGAAGTTTGAGTTTAACGTTACGTTTATGTCACGTCTTCTTCTGTGAGTTTACTAAATCTGATTACTGTCCGACTCATGTAGACCCAGAGTTTCACATTATCTGCTCACTCAAGTGCATGTAAATGCGTTGATCTGATTACTGACAATCTGATTTTCTGCAGTTATCAGATTATTAAGTACATGTAAACGCACTCATTGTTAAATGTGAAGCTGTGAACACCAGAGGCAAATCATTCACTCTTTTAAGCTCACTCAGTATAAATTGACATTGGGCTCTGCTATGTGAACTCATTTCCAATGCTCTTCTCTCTTTCTCTCTCAGATTCTGGGCAGCCCGGGACAGAAATCTTCAACATGCCAGCCTCCACCACTGCAGGTGAGCCTTTATGATGGGCGAGTGGAAATAGAAGTGAAAACAAAAAACAAAAATGCATATTTTTTACATAACATAATACAAAATATACCCGAATATAATTTTTAAAATGTGGTTTATCTGTTAATGTTAGTTTGTATTGCTTCACTTCCATAGAATCATGGATAGGATATTCTGCATCCAGTCAAATGAAAACAATAGTTAAGAATGTTCTTCTGATAAAGCCTACTGTGTGCCTACTGATATTAGCCCAGTTAAAGTCCCAATAACACCAAATCAGTCACTTTATTCATTAAAATATATTCAATAAAAGCATAACCTGGACAAAATATAAACATTAATGACTTACTGACTGCTTTTAAAAAAAAGAAAATGCCTGAAAGTTGTTGGCTCCCATTTTTTAAGATGTTCAGTTAAAGTAATGATTGTTCTTTTTTTTGTATTCCCTCCCTGTTAACTGTTTCTAATCACTGCTTCACTTCACTGTTTCCTCACTCTGTCTGTATGTGCATGTGTCTCAGCGCCGGTCAGTGTGCGCAGTCACCCAGCTCCAGACCCCAGTGGAAACACTATTGGCCTGGAGGCCATCATCCGCAAAGCCCTGATGGGTAAATATGATGAGCAGGCAGATGAGCGCTCCCCCTCTAGCTCCGTTAACCCGCTGAGTGCCGGGGTGACCCCTGCTGCTGCTGACCCTCGCGCTGAAGAGCCATACTCACTGCCCGGTACGCCTGAACCACTGCAGTCACACACATTTCTAAGTCAGCTAACAAGTTATGAACGCTTTAGTCTCACAAGCAGTGCTGTTCACCACATAACATGGCCAAGAACCACCTACCTAGTCAGGAAGAAGCTGCCTGTAGTTTTGGCACAGCATGTGTGGAGACACATTTCTGAAAATCACACTGATTTATCTTTTTCACTGCAAAAAATGGTCTCTTGTCAAGTGAAATGATCTTAAACCTAGTCGATATGTCTACTGTTTCCCATTTTGAGATGGTTGCACACTTATTACAACCTTATCTGGCTGATATCTAGACATTTATTTACTAGTTTTAAGTAATTTTAGTAGTGCTGGTTTCAAGAACAATATAGTGAGATCATTTTACTTAATAAAATTACCTAAAACAAGTGAACATTGTGTAGTAATAAGGTAAATAAATATAAAATTATACTTACAACAATCTCAACAGGAGCAATATTAGATTTATCAACTATATTTAAGATCATTTTACTTTTACTTACTACTTTTTGCAGTGTTCATGTGTCTCGTCACAGTGTCCAGTGCAGGTGGCTGGTTCTAATTTAGCTGGAAAAACAAAACTTTGTTCCATGTCCGAATGACGAACACTGCACAGAAGTGCGGAAACACAGATATGCGGAGAGCCAATCCAGATGCAGCTGACAAAATCCTTATAGTTGTTGCCAGTTTTGTGTGCAAAAGGTATCTTTTGTCCAGTTTTATAGATGTACAGTCATACAGTGTCAGAAACCACAAAGTCTGATTCTCTTCTGAAAAAGAAGAATAACCAAGCAGTGTAGAAGTAGTTTATAATGAATACTAAATACACAATTTTTTATTTTCTATATTTTATGAAAATACCTTAAAATATGTTTTTTTGTATTGTTCCAATAAGCATATTTTTAAGGTAATACCCTTTAAAGTATACTTTACTATAGGCTGCAAGGAAATGTGCTTCAGTTACCATACGTAGTTCCAAAATAATACATTTAATATGTATTAAAGTGTGTTTAAATTGTAAACATTAAAAGTTTTTAAAAGTATGCATGTTTCTTTCACACTGGATTAATTAACGTGATTCGGTTTGAGGCAAATGAGTGATGATTTAGACAGGCAGTTTGAAAGTTTGAATAATGGTACTTGGTTGGAAACAAAGGAAATTTTTATTTTTTTTTATTAATTGTGAGTATATTTTGATGATTTATTGTTTGTGTGCTAAAGGTAAATCAAAGGGCAGTGGGCGCTCCAACGGCCGTAAGACTAAGTCTCCCGGTCCCGGTCTGTCTGGAGGAGAGAGACCCTCCTCCGTGTCGTCCGTCCACTCAGAGGGAGACTGCAACCGCCGCACTCCACTCACTAATAGAGTGTGGGAGGACCGACCCTCCTCTGCAGGTACACAAGTTCATTATGAAAGACTGTATATTCACTGACTGCTTTATTAGAAACACCTACACTGTGGGTACTTTGTAATCCCTTGTCAAATTTATGTAAGTTATTTTATGTACAGTAATACTGTTAAAACTTACATTTAAATATAAACTACAGAGAACTTTGTTAAAGTCAGTATGCAAGTTATTTTGAGAGCCTCAATTGTACTGTAATTATGAATAAAATAAAGTATGATTGTATAATTTAATATAACATGATACATTCTTTACATTAGTTTTATTATAACTTGATGCTGTGCAACTGTAACTCATAGGATCCTACAGCTCTGTTCATTGTCCTGGACACATATACAGCTATCAATTATTTAAAACCTATTAAATTGTAGAGTGTTAGCATCATATTACAATCATTTTATTCATTTATCTGCAGGAAAGTTGGTGTTATATTCCATTTTTATCAAATGCACAACTCACTGATGAATACCAAATCTACACTGTACGTCTGAGTTTGTAGACACCTGCTTATCCAGTGTATTATAAAGGACTTTGCTGCAGTAGCAGCCTCTACTGTTCTGATGAGGCTTTACACCAGATGTTGGAACATTGCTATGAGGACTTGATTGCATTCAGCCTCAAGAGCATTAGTGAGGTCTACTACTGAAGTTGGTGATTAGATCTGGACACTCCAGCTCCATCACTCCAGAGAACACAGTTCTACTCATGCACAGCCCAGTGCTGGGGGGGTTTTATACCCCTGTTGCTGACCCTTGGCATTGGGCATTGTGATCTTAGACTCATGTAGCTTCTTCTGGGCATCTCATTGTATTGGTCAGTGCTTTTCTATAAAGATTATACAAGCTGTTTAAACAGCTTTGTCAGCAATGGGTGCACCTTTAAATAGCTTAAATTAGGAGTGTCTGGATACTTTTGGACACAATGTGCATACCTGTATGTTTACTGTCTTCTTTTTTTTATTGTGGTCTCTCTCTCTCTAGGCTCCACCCCATTCCCCTGTAACCCGTTCACCATGCAGATGCGTCTGCCCAGTGGCATGATGCCCAGCCACTCCCCCTCGCCCACGCAGTCCGGAGCGAGCCAAAGGCCCTGGGAAGAAGAACCCAAACCGCTGCTGTGCTCTCAGTACGAGACGTTGTCCGACAGCGAGTGAGCTCAAACGCGTGGGCGTTTAAACAGGGACTGAGATAAACACATTCATTTTTACTCGCTCGTGTAAACAGGGACGTTGATAGACGCACATACATTCACACGTACATATTCTCACGCATAGTGAAACACAGTCATAGCCGTGCACACTTAACGAGAGCACATACAGATACGCCTACATGCAAATTAATATGCATACTATCACCTCTAAACGCTTTCATTGATCACACACACACATGCATACTCGCGTCCCTCGGTTCTTTTAATACCTCTCCAAAACACAGACACGTACATACTCCAAATGGACCCCGTCACACATGCAGTAAGTGAGCGTGGCTTATTAAAGGAACGGTTTGATGAAAAATCTAATCGGCACAGTATTTGACATTTGGTGTCCCAGTTCTGCTACTTTAGTTTGTCACTGGTGCTACAAGGCTGTGTAGCACACAAACTCTAGAATCAATAGACACCCAAATCCTTTAAATACATCCTCAAACCTGCGCAAACCACATTCAGGTCTTCATTAAGGCTGCGCACCAGCGCGACACGAAAAGCAACATGAAGATGTGAAATATTTGGACAGTGTTTCCCACCACATTCACCTCACTCACCTCGCAGTAAAGTGTTTCATTTTTATAGTTCAGAAGAAGTCAAACTGTGTCCTAAACCACATCGGCAAGTCTGTGCGGCCTTAATGAAGAACTGGATGCATTTAAAGAAAAGATTTGGGTCGATATTGGCTTCTGTTGTTTACTGATTGGTCATCTGGGCTAAGTGGAAAAACTGTGAATTCGATTCTGCAGCAAACCATTCCTTGATGCTGCGCTGCTGCCGAAGTGTGTGTACGTTTTAATGTATTTCTAAGCGTGTTAGTGTGTACAGTATGTTTGTGCACGCGCACACAGATGTTAGCGTGCGTCATCACTCCAAGATCGCTCGTAGGACAAATCACTTTTCTTTACTTCTCGTTGAATTTCTCTTTTGTAGATAACTGTCGTCTTTGTTGGCCTTAATGTTTTTATTTTTTGGACTCATGGGCTCCCATCGCGTTTTGCTCATACGTTTCAGAGTGTTCTCCACCCGAATGCTCAGGATATTACACTTCCATACTGTAGTTCAATGGCAACACACACTTTCAGCTTTGTTTTTTATATGCACACAGAGGCTGTACTTTACTACTGTGTGGTAAACGTCACAAACACAGACCTTTTCTCGTTCATGTTCACGTTTTTCTCTCCTCATGCATGCGAACGCGCGCACACTCTTACACACTGTGGGGCAAAACTGCGGCTATGCATTTCTGTCTTAAATCTCGGCTGCTGGTGGCGTCGCTTTGCACCCATATGGAGTCAGAGACTCTCGGATTAGCCACTGCAACTTTACAGTATGAGTATGAGGCACATTTTGAGGTACAGTGGACCTGAATGGGTGTGTTTGCGTACGCGTTAAGCATGAATTCTTCAACAAGGAGAACAAAGGCAGCCTGTTTTCCTCAGTTACTCTTTTCTGAAGTATGTAAGGACGAGCTCGTCCAACGTTCTAGAAACAGACGCTCATGAAGTCGACTGTGGACAACAGTTTGTTTTTTATTTTAATTCATTGTTTGCTATTTTTCACTTTTGCTACTTTAGGGGGAGTCTACATGGGTGGGCCATATCATTGGTTTACAGGGTACATATGCCATGTATTTTTGATGTCATCATACCGTTTTTGTTGTTCTCTTTGCCTCTAGTCGACCATTTACAGTTTTTATCGATTCTGTTTCTTGTTTCTTGTTTGATAGATGTTGCAAAAGCTGAGACCTTTTGTTGTGTTATCACTAATTTTGTGTTTTGTTTTGTTTTTTCTATATGAACCGTATTTGTATACATATTAGTGTTCTGTTTTTTTTTAACGTTTCGGTTTATTAAGCACTTGGCCAGCAAATAGTCTTTGTTGGCATCCTTTAAATGGGCGCTGACATAAATACTTAAATTAATGCAACTTTTCTTTTACACAGCATTTACCTTTTTTGTTATACAGTATTGTTGTTTTTTGGCATGTCACCTAAAAAAAAAAATAAAAAAAATAAAGTCCAATGCTCCAGCGACAATCAGACGGAGAGGAGGAGGTCAACGATGATGCTGAGCTGGACACGTGGACGCCATCGTAGAGGAAGCTGCTTATTTCAGGTTGTCCCCACAACGTCCTCACAAGAAAAAAAATCCTCACGAACCTGAAGTTTGTCACACTTACACAAAGACTCAGCTGAATAAAAGCCATGCTGTCTGGCCAGTCCATGGACAGTTAGAGCTGCTCTTACGCCCTGGATCAGTTTTGAATGGTATCTCTGTGTTTTACGGTTTAAGGACACTCGATGTGGGATCAGTTTTCCTCCACCGTTCTTACGAGGACCTCAGATTTTATCCTGAAGAACGTTCGGCCCACAGGGATTGGGCCTCTGTGGACGGCTGGCGGCGGATATTTCTTGCACCAAACTCAGCACCTCATATTTCGACATAACGGATCCCTTTCTGTACAGTGTAAACAACAGCTGGTATGAAGTGCCATTTGACACATACAGTACTGAAGTTAAACTACCAAGTGTCTACGCACAATCTCATCATCTTTTCCCCCTTAATTCACTCGTCACCCCCCAGTAAAGGATACATGACTAATGAAAATGGCTCAGGCTTGAAAGAAGAAAACGCAGCCACCACTAAAAGTAAACCTTCTCAGAGATACGGCTTTTACCAGTCCTCACACTAACGTCCCAAATCGGCATCCGTTTGCCTGACGTCATCGGATAGCAGTGATGCTATGAATTGTTTTGCATGCGCATTAGATATTAAGGAATCCTTTTTTATTACTGTTATTATTATTATTATTATTATTATTATTTGAAACTTATCTGCTACGTTTAAGTGCAAAAGTTATCCCTCCTAGCACTGATGAAAAAAATAATTATTCACATTTTTGGAGAAGCTGGAACCGGTGGGATTCCAGGCGGCGGAGAAGTTAATATCAGATGCAGTCCTGTGATGCGATGCTTTTTGTTGTTGGTCAGTTGTAGTGCATTATCTAGTGTGGTTTTGTAAGTGGGGCTTATATCACAGGCTTGTTCACGCACATTGCCCTGAAATAGTGTCGAGGCTGCTACGATATGAGCTACTTCTATAACCTCCCTACATTATGCAGTCAGACTCTGTCACATATCCCTCCCAGCGGCACTGCGTGTTGTGGAAAAAAGCGTAAAAACGTAGGATGTGTCTGTCTGAAGCTTGCATTTCTCTCTTGACTTGTTGTCGACTGGCCAGTGATACAAGGACAGTGTTTCACTGCGTTTTTTCAGCGTTTTTTTTCTTACCTACTATAAAAGAATCTGTATAAATTGCGGGATGATTACGTAATTGGCAGCAAGCAACAGGAACATGGTCCGTTCCTACAAAGTGTTGATTGTGCGGCCCCTCAGTACTTTTAAGATGGGTTTGGGGTGGGGGGGTGGCATCTATTTTGTACAACCATTTTGTGCTATCTTTTTTTTTTAATTATTATTATTAATATTACAACCCACTGTATTATAGTGAGGAGTGTAAATAGGCCTAAGAGGATGTACATATTTATGTGATTTGCTGCAAGGTTGATATTCACAGAGAAACTGTTCACACTGTTGTATTTCAACATGGCCACCAGCAAGCTTTGTGGATAGCAGTGTAAAAACGAAACAAACAGAAAAAAACAGACACTGCCTTAATGTTTAAATAAAAAGCTTATTGCCATTGACACGGGTGATGTTCATTTGTGTGTGTGCTGTTCTTCTGTCCCTGACCTAACCAGGAGTTTGTTTCTATATATATATATATAAGATACAAATTGTTGTGCATAATTATAATTGTTTACAGTGGAGGACATAATTATAATTATACACAATCTATATTGTGTGTGTGTGTATATGGACCCCCACAGAGCAGGTACTATTTGGCTGGTGGATCATTCTCAGCACTGCAGTAACACTGACGTGGTGGTGGTGTGTTAGTGTGTGTTGTGCTGGTCTGAGTGGATCAGACACAGCAGTGCTGCTGGAGTTGTTAAACACCTCAGTGTCACTGCTGAACTGAGAATAGTCCACCAACCAACAATATCCAGCCAACAGCGTCCTGTGGGCAGTGTCCTGTGACCACTGATGAAGGACTAGAGGATGACCAACACAGAAACTGTGCAGCAGCAGATGAGCTATCGTCTACAAGGTGGACTGACAAGGAAGGAGTGTCTAATAGAGTGGACAGTGTTTAAAAACTCCAGCAGCACTGCTGTGTAGAAACGAGGTGGTTATAATGTGTCTGATCGGTGTGTGTATGTATGTATATATATATATATATATATATATATCGCTGTTGTCAGAAGAGAACCTTGTACATGAGTTTTTGACATAATTTGAAAATGCCTGTTGCCGTTTACATTGGATGTAAATTTCGTGATGAACAGACCAAAAGCAGTGACCCAAAATGACTCAGAAAAAATTGTGGTTCCATTGACTTCTCCTGTAAAGTTACCATTCTTCTGACAACAGCTCTATATATATATATATATATATATATATATAGTTGAGTGTGTGTGATGTATGTGGTGTGGTGTGTGGTGTGTGTGTGTGTGTGTGTGTGTGGAAGTAAACAACATAAATGGTTTGAATTTTATGTTGAGTAAAAGGAAGATTTTAAGGTCACTACAAATTTAAGTGAATTTGTGACCGACTGTTGCAGCCTTATTATAATATATATGTTACAAAAACAGTCAGTTTCAGTTTAATTATATAGTTATAATTATTATAGTTTATGTATTCTGTTTATTATATCAAACAGAGGACGTACCAAAAGGTTTTAAAAAAAATTATGATTTTCACTCAAAATATAATTTTTTCTAAAACAAGTTAGAAAGAAATTCAAAATAAAATCAGTTTCATTAGAGGTGGCACTTTTGCATTGTGTTGTAATACCTCGACCACAAGAGGGGGCAAGAATCCCGTTCATTTCAAGTATGTCTCATTCTCCTTTTCCACAGCAGAGACTTTTCTACTCATTACCTTACACTAAGTGTAGAAGGACAAAGCTCATTAGTGTGTGATGAGATACTGAATCAGTGTAAAGCGCTGTATGCAGGAGCTTTCCATTCTTCTAAGCAGCACTGCTGGCTGCACCCTTCAAACTTGTGGTTTGTTTTATTCTTCTCTGTATTTGCATTACTTATTTGGGGTTTGGAGCTTAAATTTACATTTAATTTTACTGTAAAAAGTGAATTAGACTAACAAAACTGGCCTGTAGTGATGGTACTAGTCACTCGTGGCAACAACAAGGCCGAATTCAGTCAGACTTTATATTTTTATCATGTTTACACTCAAAAGATGAGTAATGAACACTTAAATCAAAAATCAGAAGATGCTTTAGAGGTGAAAACTTTTAAATTCATGACCAGAGACATTAGTTATTTTGATTTCAGGTTGGCTGAGTTTCAAGGCATGGTGTTTTGTTCATATTCTAAGGAAAAATAACACATCCTCTGTAGAAAACACTCAAAAATGTAATTTTTCTCCTAATTTTAATGCACAATTTCTATTGATTTGCTGAGTTTGACATATTATTTGAGAGATATATGATGTGCCATATCTTTTGTGCAGCCTACATTTTGTTTGTTAAATTCAACAAATAAACAATTAAAATGTGCAGACGTGTTGTCTGTACAGGATGTGTTCACTTAATCACATTAAGAAAATCAACACTTCCTTTAAAGGGGGCGAAGGAAAAAAACAACATCCATTTTTGTTTTTTTAAATGAAACAAATGAAAAAGTAGGATTCGGGCTTTTATTTGTTCATTTAAGATATACACTTATTTCTTAAATTATTTTCTAATCTCTTGTCCAAAAACAACAAAAAAGACCTTTAACTTGGGAATTATACAAAAATATAAAGAGAATCATTAAGTGCCATATGCAACATATACAACAGGAAAGTATTTTACATAAAACAAGAAAAAAAAAGAAAATTATCCACTGTGACAGCTTTTTACATCCATTATCGACCGTAGACTTACAGAGGCCTCTGTGCTCAGCTGATGACTTTTACAGAAACCTTCAACACTTTCTGAAATTCCTTTCTGACCAACTTCACTTTGTCCATCAGTTCTTAAGTAAACCGTTCCAGTCAGTTGATGTGACTTTTCCCTTTGTAAGCTTAGCAGCTCATGGAATTTGTTTGTAATCGAGTTGCAATTTTCTTTCAGATTCTCTTCGTCAATCAGAGGTGTCTGATTTTTTTTAACTACCAAACTGAAAATGAGCAGTGTGTAATGTAAGATTCTGTCTATCACCGCTGACCTCCATTTCACACCTAAATCCATTTACTTCTCCTTTCATTTCTTCACGTATACCAACATACCAGTGTGGACAGTTTTGTTTTGTTGTTCCACAAACTGTCCAGACATTCAGCCCCAAGAGCGCCTCTGGCTTTAAAAACAATTCTCCTCAGAAAGTCAAAAGAATACATTTTCAATGAGGTAAGAAATTTAAATTTTTACCCAATTCAGTATTTGTAAGACAAACAAAAAGTACTGCAACACCCTCCTGATGTGCTGTAACACCAACCTCTGATAAAAGTCAGCACAGTATCTGAATCCCTTAATCATCCAGCATGAACTGATCTGACTGTAAGAACTAGACCTGCACAATATGGACGAAACTGTGTTGCTAAATGTTGTATAATTAATATAATATTGTGGTTTTCGCTATATGTCCAATAGTATGTAGACACCAGTGTTTCTTCTGAAATGAAGGCCATTTATATTTTTGTTTCCCCCTCTATTCTTTTAGGAAGGCTTTGCTCTAGATGCTAGAGCATTGCTGTGAGGAGTTGATTGCATTCAGCCACAGGAACATTAGTGCGGTCAGCTAATCATGTTGGATGAACAGTTCTGGACACTTCAGCTCATCCCAAAGGTACTGGATGGAGCTCCATCACTCCAGAGAACACCCCAGCGTGAGCCCAGAGCTTTACACTCCTGTAGCTGATGCTTGGCATTGGGTGTTGTGATCTTAGACTCGTGTAGCTTCTCCACATCGTCTCATTCTATTGGTCAATGCTTTTCTATGAAGATTATACAAGCTGTTTAATCAGGAATGGGTGCACCTTTAAATAGCTGAGATTAGGAGTGTCTGGATACTTTTGGACATATAGTGAACCAAAATAACTATATATTGAAACCAAAGAAACTGACTGGAGTTGGATTTGAATACCTCAGTTCATCCAGTCAGCATCTGAGATTTGGTCAGGATGCTCACAGCGCAGCTCTGTGATTGGTTAGAAGGCTCTTTTGCATATTACAGGCTTGCGATATCTGGACTGCGAGCCGATCCGGCAATAACCATTAATAGATGATATATTGTGCAGCCCTAGTAAGAACATAGTCACATACTGCAGCTCTGCAGCAACAGATCTCAAAAATACAACCTCAAATGAACCAGCTGGAGTGAACACATTAGACAGAACTCGTCACAAAGCCCAGGTTTAGCTTCTCGATTTGACACAATGCTGAAAATGAATGGGTTATTATGGACAGACCCAGTTAAACATAAGCAACTGTAACTCCAAGATTATTAACAGCAGGTCCAAACCACTGGACAGCAAGGCACCAAGGTGGACTTCGTTTTAGGTGCTGGACTAAATGACTGTAGTGCAGGCACTGATTTTCTTACAAAGCTTTCAGCTGTTGAAATGAGCGACGGCGACAACGCGTCCATTTATTTCAATCGTACAAAATCTTTGGTCCGATCTTTCAAGTGCTCCTAGACTGCAGGTCTTTGAAGACCCTCAGTTCAGTCAAAACCACTGTAGCCAAAGTAAGGAGGAAAAAAAATAAACACAAAATAATCACCTTTTTTTAGCAAGAGTGCAATCAAGCATTTATACACCTCATGATAACTTTCTCATATCAGAAAAATGGTTTATATAAGAGGTTTTTTTTGTTACCATATACAGCTTTGAGGCTTTTTACAGCATCGTAAAAGACGGTAGTGGATTTATAATTCGTCTCCATAGTGGAGTCTGTTCTTAGCAATAACGAGTAAACAAACAAGAAAAGAGAAATATGTTTAACCCACCTCCCGACCGGTAGCACATAAACATATAAACTATCAGAAGACCTCAGCCGCTACCTTATACACACAGACAAGGCTGGTCTTCCACCCTCACCTACAATAGAATACCGACTTCACCAGAGGCAAAAAGGAAAAGAATGGCCCTCTTCCACCTGCTTTCCTTCTGCTAGTGGAAGTCTTTAGTGATCCTTTCTACGCTGGTTTTGAGTAATGCGTCCGTTACTCTGTAACCCTCTACCCAAAAGGAGCTTTACTGGGAAATAATTACAAACACTCTGCAGGAGTCTCAGAGGTTTTCCGTGTAGATGATACACGGGCTGGCATCCTCACTGGACTCCAGCCTGACCGTGGACACAAACCAGCGGTGTCCGGCGCTGCCGTTGGCGTTGTAGTTCAGCGTGGTGCGGTACGTGTTCCGGGCGTGTTTGGGGTAGACGATGGCCGTGCTTTGGTAGTGCAGCGGCCGGTGACGGGGCTGAAAGTGAACCTCGGACTTGTAGCTGCGCCATGTGCAGTCGTGCACCGCCACCACTGTCTCGCTGTAGGAGGTCACCGTGGGAACGGGAGCGCAGTACACCTGGTCACGGTAGTGCCGGTCCGAAGCGTATTTCACTGCTGAACTGAACCTGGAGGAACAACATACATCATTCAGTATGTCAGTCTGGACACTTTGGGGCTTTAAAAACAAATTTAGTGATCAATATGTCTAGGACTGTTTCCCGTTTTCACCAGAGGGGGCGACAAAGCCTTTTGCACAATAACTAAACACTCACCAAAATGAATAAAGAAAAATGCTGCCAAAAAAGCCACAATAACTATATATGAAGAGTTTTTTTTTCCAAAACTATACTGTACAATAATATAGACAACTTACTGTTCAATATACATTGTTGGGAGTGAACTTTCCACATACAAGAAATATCAGTGCTATATTATGATTAATGCCTCCTTTTTTAGAGAAATAATTGTGTTTTCCATTATGTCAGCTTTGATTTTTTTCAGAAAATTGTTACGGATCACTTTAAACTCATATTTTACCTGTCGATTTCATGGCACCTGTCATTGATTATTGATAAATCAGTAAGTGGTCCCAGCTTTAGAATCATTATCCACCTTGCTGGATAATGCAGTTACAGGTTGTGTTCAGACAGCCAGCCCAAGTCCGATTTTTGGCAAATCCCAATTGTATCCAGACTGATGTTTGATAGTGTGGACAGCAAAAAAACACATGAAACCTGATTTTTGCAAATCAGATCCAAACCATATTTGGAGGGTTAAAATGCAATCAGATTTTTGCAGTCAGATTTTTTACAGATCTGTCTTAGTCTGAATGCTCTGCTGCTGAAATCAGTTAATGCACAGTTTCTCTAAGTCATCATTTAGACCTTCATCAGTGGTCACTTTCTGACAGGATTTTTTTGGATGGTGGTCCACTCTTAACCTGACACTGACACTCATACCACTACCATGTCCATGTCACTTCAGTGCTGAGAGTGGTCCACCACCCTGATAATACCTGGACAACAGCAGTCCTGAGGTCAGAAACTGACCGGTGATGAAAGGAGCAGAGGGGGGCTGATAAATCATACAGTAACAGATGGGCTGCTGTCTGTAATTGGACCCTCATATAGTTCTCAGCCTGTGCACAGAGATGATATTTATGTGTTATGTGGATTTAAACTCTGTGGTCCTGATGCAGTCGGTGCTGCAGGTTCTCTTACTTTAGCTCCTTGTTGGGTTTGGGGTTCACCTCGATGCTTTCTCCATAAACCACAGGGTACATGCGGGCCTTGGCGTCCCCCTGAGAGTTCAGCAGCAGGTACGGGAGCTGAGAGAGAAACCAGCACCATCAGTTCAGCACATCCACAACATCAATACGGTTCACATGCTGAGACACAAGCTCAGCTCTCTCGCTTTCTGTCGGTCTGTCTGTCTGTCTGCGTCTCTCTGTCTGTCTGTGGGTCTCTATGTCTCTGTATGTCTGCATCTCTGACTGTGTGTCTGTCTTTCTGTCTGAATCTGAGTCTCTCACGGTGTCTCTGTTTTTGTGTCTCTGTCCCTCTTTCTGTCTGAATCTCCCTGTCTTTCTGTCTGTGTCTGTCTGTCTGTCTGTCTGTCTCTCTTTCATTAAGAACAGTCAATTATATCAGTCATAAAAGCAGAGTTAAACTAGAACTGTTGGATTCTGTTTACTTTTTGAAAATTATGTCAGGTGATATTAACACTTCATCAGGTCCTTAAAATCAGCACTGATGACAATTTAAAAATTCAATCCTTACTACAATCAGAAATACTGGCCTTCTGCCAAATATCACTAAAGTTGTAAATAAGAAGTATTTACTTAGCTGAGCATTTTTAAAGGCATTTTTATTTAACATTGTTTTGGAAATAAAACGCTTATAATTACATTTGGCTTTGAAACTAATTTGAACCATTTATGAACCTTTAGTTCAAAATGGCTTCATGATTATGAGAAACACAGTGAGGTGAGTCCAAACTCCACTTCACTGGTACTGAATCTGTTCTCTTCACCTCCCGTCACAAAACAGGTTTACATCCATAATAAACAGATGATCACAGTCAACACTCGCTGAACTGCTGCCTGAAAAAAATGAATGTCCTTTAATCAGAGGTAAGAGAGCACTGGCACGGGTCACACAAGATAATGCAGTGGGCTCGGCATATGTTTGCTGATCAGACACTGGGCTTGTCTGTTTGCTGTCTCTACTAGAGTAGATTTTAGACGGATCCCTGTGTCCACCCAGTCAGACTGAGCTCTGGAGAGCAGCTTTGTGCTGATGAAGTTCCAGATAACTGCAACCCATCCATAAACGAATCAGAAATGCATCCAAACAAGCAGCACTGCCTAAGCTTCTGATGATAAGCAGCTGCCATAAAGTGAAAATGAGGTTAAAAAAGCTAATTTACACAGTTTTCCTCTTTAGGTCTAATGTACCCGATTAACCAAGACATGTTCAGTGTCTTAAGTTCACTTCTGTAGTTCTAATACTGCAGCTTCACGGCTAATGTAGCTAATAAGTAACGGAAGCTCAGGTACACCAGTTAGCATCACACAAACGTTATGCCTGAATTATCACACACTCGCCTCAAACTGTGTGGAGTTGTTCAGTAATCTCCCATAGACAGCAGAGCTGGTTTATGAGGAGCCTGGCCACTTCCTATTTCCCTCATTATATCAAAAACATGAATCCAAAATGCCAGAGGGCGCCTGCGAGCGAGTGAATGGGAGTAAATGGAGCTGAATGGTTAAAAAATGAATAGTTAAAGTAGTTTCTAATCTCTCGCCCAGAACTTTCCTTTAGTTTTAGAAAGTAGAAGGATGTATTTCACTAAAAACACAAAGAAAACTCACCTGTATGTTTCCTTTTTTTCTACAGGAAACAGGTTTTGGGCAGCAGGACGCTAACATTACTGATACTGAGTGCTGATTGGTTAGCGTTACTGCTACTGAGTGCTGATTGGTTGGCGAGCGGAGCAGCTCATTGGCTGTTCGCACTCACAGATGTCATGAACATACATGAGGCGCCGTTTTAAACTCCTATAACTCGAGTTTAAAAGCTCTTAACACCGGTGTTAAAATGTTTTAAGCTGTTCTGAGTTCAGGAAATGAATGTATGCTTTTATATTAAAAATGTTTAAGCATTTATAAACTATGATTTTGCTCAAATGCTCCATATCAACCCATTCATTTTGGACTCACTCGGGAGCGCCCTCTAGTGTTTGAGAAAGCCGGAAGACATTACAGACTGTTAAGCTGAGTATCGTATCTGTTAGCCTCTACATTGGCCATGGCAATGGCGCGGGGTGGGGGGTTTCAGTGGTTATATGATGTATTTGCTTAATGCATGCTGGGTATTGTAGTGCTACATACAACATAACACATGAAATAACACATAAAATAGCAGTTTTAGGCCGTTATCTCCCTTTAACAGTTCAACACAGTTTGACACCACTGTGTCTTGATTTGGACGTGCTTTACACCACGCTAAGCTCCTGTTACTTGTTAGCTACATGAGCCAAAGCTAAAAAAGCAAACTCCAGACACCAAACATGTCTTGTCTGCTCGACTGCATTTGGAATATAGGGAGAAAGTGAGATCAAATCAACAGTTTGATTGTTTTTGTTGAGCTGCTGTGTCAACACACAGAAATAGAGAGGAAAATGTAATTGGGCTGCATTACACAGCGTCAGATTTGCAGCAGAGCAGCTGCAATAACAGTATCTTTTCTCCTCCCCTGGGCGTTGAGGGGTAGATACTGTGAGCGCCACACCAATGCTCAGAGCAAACACAAAGTCAAATCAATGACAGCTTCTGCTGTTTATTAACTCTCCCCATGAACGCCCACGCGCACGCGCAGCAGGGGTGAAAGTCCAGTTATGCAACCGGCTGCAACGGCTCCTGTTAGCGCCGCCGCTCAAAAATAGATTCAGGAGATTGTTCTGAGTTGCCACAAGCAAACAACTCCAAAACAGACCTGCGGCCATCCCAAAAAAAACATAACAAGCCTTCCTGAAACAGGCGTGTGCATGCCCTCCTGCAAACACCAGTGCGCTCAGCAGCAGGAGTGCGCAGCACTGAGTTTCTGTAAACCATTAGTGCAGTTGTGGCCTTTATAACACTGATATTACAGTTAGAAATATGCACAGGAGCTTCTAACCAGTCACTAACTCTACTGTTTATGTGACAAATCTCAGAAAAGATGAATTTCTGCAGGTATTTTGATGAATTATGATCCAACAGCATTAAAAACATAAATGACAAGCAATAAAAACAGATTTTTGGTTAAAGTAACAAAGGCTGATGGGCCAGCGTTTTTCAGCCTTATCTCTATCTTCACAAACCTGTCGCCTCCCCTAAACAACCCCCCCTTCCCAACTTCAATTACCCAACTTAAAGGGAAACTCTGCTGATTTTTCAAAAAATCTACATAAATGGTTGAGATGTATACAAAGTCAGTCAGAGTGGTTTTGGGTGAAATGCTCTGTTCTAGAGAAACTTACTGAGTCAGAATTGTTCACAGTGGTGATGACAGGAACCAGACATCCACCTCTAAAAGCTCCCTCACAGAAAGTTATCACACTAGATTAGATATGTGCTGCCTGATGTCTCACACATCATCTTACGATAGTTTTGAGATAAAGTTTTGGCTTAAAATGCATTTTAATCCATTTATTTTAATCCTTTCACATTTACCACTATTTTACCATCATCAACATTCCTTATAAAGCCCAGAAGACTCATGTAGGGTCACTGGTTCACTGGTGGTTTTAGATAGTAAAAAAAATTGTGTTGTAGACATTGTGACCCCTGGTTCCCATCACCACCACTGTAAAGAAATCTGCAAGTTTCTTTTCACATCAAACCAATCTGAATAACTTTGTTTACATCTTAAGGACTAAATTATTTTGAAATTTAAAAAAACTTGGTGGAGTTCCCCTTTATATGGCCATGTCTGGGTCCACTTATAACTTTTGCGTAATTTTACCAAAACTGGTCGCGATTCATTTTTACATGAACTAAACAGGCTGTGTCTTTAAGACTGATATAAATGTAAATGAGCTCTGTTCTGATTGGCTGCCCTGTATTTTACCTCATTCTAAAAGCAGTCCAGGCTGAAACACTCCTTAGAACTTCACTGTGAATGGGCGGAGCTAAACTGCTGTAGGCTGAATAGGCAGATGCATGTAAATGTGTTGGTCTTCCTAACATCACAAAATACGGAATTAAAAACGATGTGTTTTCATATATGGAATGTTTTATAAACTTCAATAATATGTTATGCTACACATATGACATAAAACGCTTTTATTTCAAAAACAAAGAATTTTTTCAGAATGCTTTTTAATTTTATAGAATAATTTCTACAATGTCTTTATAAGAAGTTATTATAATGTATATGAATTAACTATAGTTAACTATAGTTATTATAATAGATTAAGTAAATAACTATAAATCAAACTATAGTGTGTAAATTAAAATTAAAATGAATTATTAGAAGAATATGCATAAGTTCTGCTTTTTATTTTAAGTCATTAATGATGTCTTCATTAATAATATGTTTTTGTCAATATAATGGTCAATTATATGGGGTCCCTTGTGGCTCAGGGGGGGCCCTACGCACCTGCTTACAGCACTTACAGAAAGAAAGGGCCCTCAAACCCCACTTATACCAGAGACCAAAGAGAAGCTGCTTCAGCATCTGCCCACTGACCTCCATTGTACGTGTGCTTTAACTCAGTGGTTTTCTGTTCTCTTTAAAGTTCAGGGAAACACACTGAAGTTGTTGTCTGTGGTAACGGACTCTGTGCTACATATGCGACAGAAAAATTCCGGAGTATTCCTTTAACCACATCACTGTGTTTTATTATAGTGAAAGTCGATCAGAATCAAAATATGTAGCAAAATAACTGCAATACATGTATTCTTCTGCATGCGGATCAGCTCTGCTTAGCAGGCATGAACGCAATACCCTTATTCACAGAGCCATTTTACAGCTGCATTTCCGAAACGCGTCCTTCCCAGTGCATTATGTGCAACTGTAAGTATGCAGTGTGTATCCTAATGCAGTGCTGTAGATACAAAGCCATACAGAAAAAAATCCCTTATTCAGAATACAGTCAGTCAGAAACGGCATGGCTAGTGTCTGGAGTTTGCTAATGTGGCTATCAAGTAACGGCAGCTTATAGCCACCAATTAGCACTGAGCAAACTGCATGCCTAAATCATCCCATGCTTGCTTCAATGCAGACTTGATGATGCAGTGTCTAACACTGTTACTGTAGGCATCTGCTACTTAACCGTTAGCCT